AAAATTTAAAATTTTAGATATGTGTTCAAATTATATTGGACCAAGTATTATTGTCCATTAATTAATACCACTTTTTCTTCCCTGCAAAAAAAAGAAAAAAAAAAAAGAAAAAAGAGAAAAAAAATGGTCAATGGATATAATTAGTTGGCACTTACCGTGGCTGAGTTTGTGGATCACAAACCATTGTCATCAACACCATGGCAGTGAAAATGGTTTTGTCCCAAAATAATTTTATGGTCTAAGTTTCAGTTAATTTAATAGAGTAGTTCACAGATAAATACTCTCTCTGATCCATCTTTCAAAGTAGTAATGTTGTATCTGCAATATGAGCCCTCCTGATCACTGGCATTCTCTCTCTATTTGAAGCGATTGCTAAAGCAATATTAATCTGATTGCTTGGGTACGCCCACTGTGAATTCATGTACCAGTGTACTCAGTTCTTGTCATTAATTGTTGTTATATATATCACCACATATTTGTCAATATATATTGACAAATATGTATACACACATATATTGATGGACAATTTTATTCACTCTAAATCTTTCATTTATTCGAAAAGAGGCAAATAACAAAGCCACTTATTTAGTAATTTACACGTACCTTTCAAAAAAAAAAAAAAAAATCTCACACACTTCTGCAGATATGATAATCCTGCAGATATGATATCTGCTTATCCTTAACAAAGTAGGTTTGCTTTTTATTGCTGCAGAAATGCCCCCAAGTTTTCTAAGTAGAGTTGTCATACCAAAACTGCCCTTGAAGATAGTCAATCACCTTCTTGTCAACCCGGAAAGCCTTGGCAAGAACATCATCAGAAATTGGTGGATCCGATCCAAAGACTGCATTGGCAATAGTGATAGCCCCCGGATTTTGGCTGCTTAGTCCAGCAAATGCCACTGCATTGGTCTTTCCAACATTGAATTGGAAGTGAATTAGCACCTGCGGGAACACGAAAACATCTCCAGGCTATAGGGTCTTAGTGAAGAAAAGTTTTTTAGGATTGGAGGTGACAAAGCCAACATAGAGAGTACCCTCCAGGACAAAAAGGACCTCCGTAGCACGCGGGTTCGTGTGGGGAGGGTTGAGACCACCTTCAGGTGCATAATCAATGCGTACGAAGGATACACCAAGAGTGTTGAGTCCTGGTAGTTGGCCTACACTTATAGGAGTCACAGCTGACTCAACTGGATTTGATGTGTTTCCGGGAATATTTAGCCCTGAGAAGAAAAAATCATTGGCTACAACGAGCTTTGGGTCATTGCAGAACTTCCCATTCACAAACACGCATTCAAAGGAATAGGTGTTATTGAGCTATATAAGAAAATGAAATAGACACTCTACATGTCAGTCAGCACTATCTTATACTATGTAGACACGGTTTTCAAAATGGGTTTATACATGTAGGAGGTATTTCATAGGCAATGTGGGACGTCATAATACACATATGAGAAAGCGAATATACAGTAATTAAGGGAGAGAGAGAGAATGAATGAGATGATCATATACATACCACCGAGCTTGGGAATGTCAATAGCGACGCAGAAGTCCTGCAGTTGGTTAGGGTCAGTGGCAAAGGCAAGTGAGAATGCAAAAGCTAAGATGGCTGTGGCTAAAAGGAAGTGAGCACTACCCATCTTGATCATGGTTAAGATCCAAGTAATAAACAATTAATCACTCTTTAATAGGACTATACTTTGCAAGATTGCTTGGGTGAGAGGTGAGAAATCTAAAAGAGGAAAGGTGGCTATTTATAGATAGAGAATCTTGAGTTAGCCTACTGGTTTTTTACCCTATGTTTCTTCAATTGTAAGATTGCTTTCTGTTAAATTAAGGACAAATTTTCAACAACTATAAACGACCCATTTCTCATTTGTCTTGACCAATGCATGACTACTTCAACTATACAACATCATTTTTCATAGCCTTATCCTTCTAATTCTGTCATCATATTCAAGAATGTTCAATTGCTTCTTTAACATTTAGCTGCATTAGAGTATTTGCTTGCGCTGGTTGATTTGTTGTACCCTAGTTTATGTCTAACTATTAAAAGCATTACTTCATGACGTTAATAAAAGAAGGTTGCATGGAGAAGGAAAGTTGATCTATTGTTTTATATCACATTAACTTTTGAGTAGGTGGAAGACTTATAACAACCAGGGAACCAGTGAAGACAGGTCCTGCACTGATTTTTTTTTATTTATTATTATTTGCTAAATTATCTATAATTTTTATTAAAATTTAAAAAATATCCGCACTTGATTTTAATAATACACAATTATTATATATTCTTGTTATTCAAGATCACCTCTTCTTGTACAATTCTCTGATTAACAATTACAGTACCTTTACAGTACCTTCCTGAGTGTAGCCTCATACCATTTTGGATAATATTTCTCCAAATGGAGAACCCAAATAATTGGTGTGGGATCTTTGCTTTGTGAGACCCACACCAATAATAGGAGGCCAATATGAAAACATTAAGATAATAGTGGAAGATATGATACCATTGAGATGCACGCTGCATGCCACCATGATCTTTCAGTATCTAGATAAAGTGAGTACCATGTCGAACACAATTATTCGCGTAACACTCTATTTTTTAAAACATATAGACTCAAAGTGGAATCTCTCCACTACTGATGCCCTTATTCCCTTGAGACCAATCTCATTGAGTTTTTATTTTTTAATTAAAAAAGGTATGGTATTGGGGCGTACTACATGTTCAGATGATGAGTGAATATATATATACTCGATCTGCTATAACAGCACAGATTATGGTTGTCCCTGCTGTATAATACCATGTTGTTACAATGGAGATACTGATTCATTCAAGCGTACTAGTCACACCCAAAGAAAGCTTTAAACTAAAGTAACTAAACAGACACATGGAGAGAGAGAGAGAGAGAGTTTTCAAGTTATAAAACTGAAAGTTTTTTTTTTTTTTTTTGAAAGGTAAAAATTTAAGATATTGAATAAAGAATATTTACCAAGCAAAGAAACCTGAGGAAGGCTCAGAGTCACATATACAACAAACCCAGCCCATATTGGAAATAAGCAAGCCCAGCCCAACCAAAGAGCCCCAAAGAAACAACCACTCATGACCGTTAGTCCCAATTCGGGTCAGACAGTTGTTGGATTCATATTAACTCATTTTTTCACACTTTATGATTTTATAAAGAAGGCCTGTTTGGGGAGCTTTCTGGGGACTTGAAACGGGCTTCCAAGCCCAATAAGGCCTTCCTTAAAAAAATGGTAGCATTTGTAAAATAAAAAAAAAGGAATTCTTTAACTAAAAAAAAAAAAAAAGAATTCTAATCAACATCAAAGTCTTAGGACGTCTGTTCAAGTAACAAATTTTATGACAAATTTTAAGTAAAAAATTTTATGGACAAATTTGCCTCCTTTTATTTCGTAAAACTTGTTGATCTAATGATTTGTAAACTATGAACAAGAACGAGAGAGTTGTTAGGAGTCCTTTACTCCGATTCAAATTCTAATACTAAAATACTTTTCCCATTTAAACTAGTTCTCTGAGAATTCTTGATAGGTCACAATTCTTTAAAATATTTTACTTTTATAATTTTTAAGATAACTTTTAACTTTTAATTTTCAATTTCTATATTTTGAAACCCTAACATTTATTAGAAGTTTGAGAGTAAAAAGTGATTTCACAATGAAAAGATATTCGGTTTCTCAAATATGTAATTAACATTCCATCTTCAATAATTGATGAGCATGACAACAATGAAAGTATAAACATAAGCTTCATCATCTGCTATCCTTTTTATTATTATTATTTTATCTGCTATCTGAACTTCATCACTTTTATTATCTCTTTTCCTATTTTTATAATTTTTTTTATTTATGTCAATTCTTTTTTGTTTTTTGTTTTTTTTTTTTTCCTGTTGTATGTCAATTAATAGGGTAATTATTAAAGATAAAATTGTCAACTTAAAATTGTATTAAAAATATATATTCCCAAACAACTTTTATCTTCTAAATTCATTTCATTGACTTGTATTCTTCAAAAACTTTTAAATAAAAGGAATTTTGAAATCAAGAAGCCCGTCCAAACAGGGCCTAAGTCTTTAGTGGGCCTAAATCCTTAGTGTCCCTCATCCTACTGACCTAGTTTCAATAAAAAGAATGGCGGGCAATAAAGTTTAACCGCGGCTTTTTTTCCAGGCTAACGTTCATCAATTCATGATATTCATCTACTCTTGCACCTTCGATTGATAGTATGACATGAACATCAATTTTAGATTATCAATTTTAGACTCTCAATGTTGAAACATACTTACCAATTTGTTAATGTTTCTCTTAAATTTTTGAAGAAAGATTCGATTGGACATTCACACACACTTCCACCTATGAATCAATTTATTGGAAGTGTATTGGATGAAAATTAAAGTGTCAGAAAAATTTAATATCTGTATGGTTTATTTTTTAAAAATTTAATTTTCAAGAATTCAAAAAATAAAAAATTATTTACAACCAACTATAAAAATAATTTCTTAGCTGAATTTTCATAAAATATTTTTTTTAAAAAATAACAACCAAATAACTTTATGCTACTTACCAGAAAAAAAAAAAAAAAAAAGGTTTATATATGATTTTCTGATTTTTAATTATTTAAAAATAAAAAACGGAATCAAACATGCCTTTAATATTCTTTTTAAATACTGTATGAACTGATATGTGCGCATGTGACATAATGTTTAACGCCATATTTTATTTATTTATTAACCTGAATTTATTTATTTATTAAGGTAGCTTTAGAATAAACTAACAAAACAAACAGAAGTTCCTCCAAGACTAACACCAAGCATCAACCACCGGTAGTTAGATCGAAGCCAAAAAATCATAGTCATCCTTTGTAGAGCGTGTGAAATACGCAACTGAACTTGACTGTCTTTATCAAGTTATGGTTTTTCACGCTCTCCGAGACGCGTGGGAATATCATTTCGTAGTAAAACGTTAACAAACCTGTCGGCAGCAACAAGGAAATCAGTCACTCACACAGTTTAGAGAGAGTGTGTGTTCCATTCTGTTCAATTCTCAGCTCATTCAAGCTCTGAGGTTCAGAGGTGTACCAAATTCAAAAGCTTTGATTTCTGGGTTATAGAGTTATTTTGGGTACAATGATGGTTCAAGATGATCGCTCACCCACCAAACCCTCAAAACCCCACCACAAATCCAAGCCAACCCCTCTCTCAGATCGCTTCTCTGAATCCAGAAACCTAGATTTCGCAACATGGGTGTCCGAAAATTCCTTCAAAATCTTCATCATTTCCCTCCTAACCCTCACAGTCGCCGCCATCTTCTTCCTCCGAAGCACCGGTGACCGCACCGCCCTTCTCTGCTTCCAGACCCACCCAAAACCTCCTGAAAAGCTCGGAATCCCCAAAATTAGCTTCAAATCAATCCAACCCATAATCGATAAGTCATCCCCTTTCGCCTCATTCCGGTCCGATCAATGGATCGTTGTCTCAGTCTCCGACTATCCGTCCGATTCGGTTCGTAGTCTTGTTAGGGTAAAGGGTTGGCAAGTTCTTGCAGTGGGTAATTCAAGGACTCCAAAAGATTGGAGCTTTAAAGGTGTTATATATTTGTCATTGGAACAACAAGCTAAATTAGGGTTTAGGGTTGTGGACTACCTTCCTTATGATTCTTATGTTAGGAAGAGTGTTGGGTATCTTTTCGCCATTCAACACGGGGCAAAAAGAATCTTTGATGCTGATGATCGTGGGGAAGTGATTGAGGGGGACATTGGGAAGCATTTTGATTTGAATTTGGATGAAGTTGCTGCAAATCAGCAAGTGATTTTGCAGTATACTCATGAGAATCCGAATCGGACGGTTGTGAATCCGTATGTTCATTTTGGCCAGCGATCGGTTTGGCCTAGGGGGTTGCCATTAGAGAATGTAGGTGAAATTGGACATGAAGAGTTTTACAGTGAAGTGTCTGGAGGAATGCAATTTATACAACAGGGTATATCGAATGGCCTACCGGATGTAGATTCAGTTTTCTATTCCACCAGAAAGTTGGGTTTGGAAGCATTTGATATAAGGTTCGATGAGCATGCCCCGAAAGTTGCTATGCCTCAAGGTAAAATGGTGCCAATTAATTCATTCAATACTTTGTTTCATTATAATGCATTTTGGGGTTTGATGCTTCCGGTTTCTGTTAGCACAATGGCTTCTGATGTATTGAGGGGTTACTGGGCACAGAGGCTGTTGTGGGAGATTGGTGGATTTGTAGCAGTTTATCCTCCAACAGTTCATAGGTATGACAGCATTGAAGCATATCCATTTTCGGAAGAGAAGGATCTTCATGTAAATGTGGGTCGTTTGATTAAGTTCTTGGTCTCTTGGAGATCTGAAAAACATAGATTGTTTAAGAAAATTTTGGAATTAAGTTATTCCATGGCGGAAGAAGGGTTTTGGACTGAGAAGGATGTGAAATTTACTGCTGCTTGGCTGCAGGACTTGCTTGCTGTTGGGTACCAGCAGCCGAGGTTGATGGCAATAGAATTGGACAGGCAGAAGGCAGCCATTGGTCATGGGGACCTTAAGGAATTTGTCCCTCGAAAATTACCTTCTGTGCATCTTGGGGTTCAGGAATCAGAGACAGTGAACTACGAAGTTGGGAATCTAATCCGGTGCAGAAAAAACTTTGGTAATGTCGTGCTTATCATGTTTGTCAATGGGCCTGTCGAACGTACTGCTTTGGAATGGAGATTGCTTTATGGCCGAATATTCAAAACTGTGATTATTCTGTCAGTACAAGCTGATGCAGATCTTGCAGTGGAGCAAAGCCAGTTGGATCAAGCATATAAGTAAGTTGTTGATGTCATAATTTTCTTTATTTCTTTTCACCCGCTCATGCAACATATTCTAAAATGATTCCTCTGTCAACATATATCAACTTCACATTTGCACTTTCCTAGTTTCCTCACATTTCAAGAACTTGCTTGAACTCATTACTATATCAAATCATCTTTAACTTGTCGTTCCTCATTTTTTTTGGTGTTTGTTTTTTATGCATCAATGGCATATTTTATCGGAATAAACATATTGGAATTTTCAACTGTCTGTAAAACTGTAGAATGGACAGCTGATAAAAATCCAACCTCATTTATGGGAAGTAGCAAATCAGTTTCCGGTGAATTGACACTTTGAGAGAAAAGATGTGATGGAGAGATTCAAAAGCTCAGTGGATACCATTGTTTCATTACCTGTGTGCAAAGTCATTAGAGTCTAGAAGTTCTAGTGTTAATGAAAGATTCCTGTAGCCACTCCTAGTTAGGGCAAACCTTCATTGAGGTGAGCATGTGAGTCTAAGTTTTGTTTCTCAAAGCATATGCAGTTTAAATTTTTTAAGTACCCACGGCCTTTTTTTGAACACTTTCAAGATGTATTGTCACAAGCACCAGCACCACTTTTATTAACGCTCGTGTAAATGGCTTCCAGGTATTTGCCAAAGATATTTGACAGGTTTACTAGTGCGGAAGGATTCCTATTCCTCCAGGACGATACAATTCTCAATTACTGGAATTTGTTGCAAGCAGACAAATCTAAGTTATGGATCACCAACAAGGTAAGGGAAGCTTCGAGTTCAAGTGTAATACTGCCAGGGTTTACAAACTCACAAACTCATCTTATGCAGGTTCCCATGTCTCATACTACTATCTCGAGTACTAGAAACAACTCATTGTGGTTTTCAAAGCAAGCAGATATGGTAAAGAAAGTAGTGAGCACAATGCCAGTTCACTTTCAGGTCAACTACAAGGAAAGTGGCCCCAGTGAAAAGAGCCTCGCCATATGTGGTTCTGAGTTGTTTTATATTCCTCGACGCTTTGTGGGGGACTTCATAGATCTTGTAGATCTGGTGGGCAGTCTCGAAATGCACCACAAGATTGCAGTGCCCATGTTCTTCATGGCAATGGACTCGCCACAGAATTTTGACTCTGTGCTTAATACAATGATTTACAAGATAGAAGCACCATCCGCGAACTTTTCAGACTTCTATTCTGCTCAAGTACCAGCCGTGCACCCATGCAGTGTTAATAGTGAGCCAGATTTTGTAAAACTAATAAGAATCATGGCAGCAGGTGATCCTCTCCTTCTGGAATTGGTTTAAAATCTGATACAGTTGTTGATAGCTGATACAAAGTATAGGAAGAAAGAAACATGTCCAACTGTGATTTTTGTTTCTCTTTTGGTTATTTCCTCTTGTGAAGGGGATGAAGACTAATTCTTTCATTGGTTTTTGTTCTTAGTCTTTTTTCTTTCTTCTTTTTCCTATACATATTTATCTTGTATCATTCATCATGTATCTTCCAAAATTTTCTGTTCATCTTTAATGAGCACTGTACTGTATCATATTGAAACCAGGAAGAAGTTGTTGAGAATGTATCTTCACACTACAGTCATTTGACTATTGAAATGATGTTGCAGTGCAAATTGCAGTTTAATTGTGGTGATCTATTTCTTCTATTTTTTTTCCGAAAATAAAAAATAAAAAATTGTGAAATTGAACTCTATATGACAATTATAGTTACTCTGCCAACAGATAAAATTTTCCATTACTGTTTTATTTTCACAGAAAGCAATGACAACCTCATATCATTAATATTGTGATTTTTAGGCTTGATGAAGGGCAACAACTAAACCAAGGCTGTAGCCTAGTAGTACTTTTTCGCCTGAAGTAGAAATCGAAAGTTCAAGTCCAGGCAAATAGATGTGTGACTGTGTTTCTTGTTAAGGAAAACTAAATAGATAAATAAAAATGCGAGTGAGCATAAACTAGCATGAACCTAAGATTGTAATTCACATTTGCTAGAATTTGTTGGAAGAGAGACTCTCCCCAGACCCCTTTGTAGGGGCATTACATCTAATAGACATCTGAAAATAAGGAGAAGATCAATTTTACCCTTCAATTGTCACCATTGTTTTAAAAAGCTATACTTCTTCTAAGTAAACCTCAAGTCAAGTCACCTGAACCAGGACAATTTGATCATTCTCAAGTCAAATAAGATCAGTGCACTTGAAATTCTGCAGACTGGATGTTTGTATCTCAAAGCTTCATCCCCTGTTCCACAATGGTTTAAAATTGTTTTTGTTTCTCTCCTCTTTTTACAATTCTTCCTTTTGATCAAATTTCAATAATAAGATTAACGGAAACGAGAACCCTTAAAGTAAACCCTGATTGATTTCCATTTAACACGCAAAGTGAATGTTTTTCACCTTATGCTGTCACCAACATCAGTCGTTTTATCAAAGTGGTGAAATTTCACAAAATCAGAACGTCTGAATGTTCTACATATTCATTTATTCACAAAAAATCTGCTCAAGTCTTTAGCTGAAATACTTCTCATAAAGAGCATTTGAGATTGCTAGGGCATCTCCTTGAGCCTTCACTGGGTAAAGTGTGGTATCTGCTTGCCATTTGTTTGAAAATGCTATCCATTCTTTTCTCCATTCCTCCAACTTGAAGGGCTCATTTTGTCTCAAGCTCTTCAACAAATGAGTGAAATATTTTGAGGCTCGTGGCAGATAGTAGTCTTCTAACAGTCCACTCCAGAACTTGTTTGCTGATCATAGACCGGTTAAAAACATAATATTACACCAACAGAGAAGCATGAAAGTCAATTGATCAACAATAAGTCCCACATTTTGAGAAAGTCAACTTACCATAATCATGAAGTTGACTCTGAATGGAATTTGTAGTATCAAACCACATTGTAACTTGTGTTCTTGCATTCCACTCATACTGAAGCAATTAGAGGGAAAAAAGGAATGGTAAAACATGTGTGTGTATACTGTATATATACAACTGCTGATCGAACAAAGAGAATATTAAATAATTCACTCGTGTTATATCTGTTAATTTGCCACATAAAACCCAGTGTTACACATTCTATTAAATTTCGATATAAATCAGAAAAGTTAACACACTAAGTTGTGCTATTTTGAATTAACCTGCATAAAGTACTGAAGGAGAAATTATTTCATGTGCACCTGACTCATCTCGCTAGGATTTAGGGCCAGTTTTTTTGCACTTTCGAGCCAAGTTCCAAGTAGAAAACTATCATCGGCGGCAAGAAGTTTATCAGTGTCCTTAATGAGCTGTAGGAATTTCTGGCTTTGAGAACTCAAAGCTTTTGCATCCTTGTCCTGGAAAGCAGTCACTGCATCCAAATACACCTGGTTTGCTAGCTTTGACAGTACTTGTCTAGTTAAGTCAACCAAGTCATACCTGTCAATTTTATGAACATATTAGTAATTTTTTTTTATAATAAAAATCTGTGGTTTTTTTCCTTATAATTTTAGAAGATGTGGAATCTGAAGTAGACAGTCTCTAGGCCAGATTTGTAAGATAAAAGTCATCATCACATATAGATCCAGTGCAAATGTAACTTAGCAGCACACAAAGAGCTTAATCAAACATGCCCCTAAGTTGTTTCATCATACTAATTTTCGGGTTTTTGTGTGTTTAAGTCCGTTTGTACTCTTCGAGATATCTCTCTCTCTCTGTAGTTTGTTTCTTAGGTTCTGTTCCCTGTGAAAAAGAATGTGTAACAAATATTTCATACAGAGTGCAGTCATATCTGCAGTAATCGAGAAAAACATAGAAAATTATGGGCTTGTTTGGTTCAGTTTTAGACCCTATATTACCGGCATGTGTTCTAGTAAGTCAGAAGAAATAAACCAGAAGGAGTGTTGCTGGGTTTTAAACATACAATTACAATTTAGAGTTTTACCTATACGTGAGGCTTCCAGCAAGATCGCTTCCCGCATCAAGGAACAGCCGCAATGCCTTGATGACGTCATGGTTAGAATACCATAAATGTGCTTGAGGTAAGGGGGACCTTGTTTCACTGAAAAGGAATCTTCTGTGTCCGTGTGGTTGAAAGAGCTTTTGCAGCTGGTTTTGTTCTGATATTTCAGAACTGGTGTTTGGGGATGGATCCCAATCAGGAAATTTAACTATAAAATCATTGTTATGGTCCTGTGACAAATTGATTGAAAAAAAGAAAAAAAAAAAATGAAAAAGAGTTATCTGTTAGTGTTAAGGAAAACCACAGAATTAAAAATGAAACACCCTTTAGTTCTTAACTAAAAAACCTAGTAAAGTTAGAGCACAATATAATATTGCATCTTATTTAGGATCTAAGAAGGAATTCCTTAAAGAATACAACTAACTTATCCTATGTCTTGATAGAGTTTTTAAGAGGTGGTAATATTCCACGAGATGGGTTGCTATTTTACATAGCCAAGTACAACTTCTACCTTTCACTATGAGAGAGAGAAGCTTTCACATATCAACTGTAAAAATTATTTATAAATTAATTAAGTGCGTTCTTCAATTATCCTCTTAACATATTTTTTCATTTAATACTGGATGAATAAGTCACTGTTTTGTTAAAATTAGTGATTTAGATCCTCTAACCTTCTAGAAAAGATGCAATTGTAGACTCGATCTACTGGACATGTACGGTATATGATATATAAGTGAATGACAGAAACACCAGAATTCATTCAAAACAAAATAATAATAAAACAAAAAACGTACAGCAATTCCATCTGTACAATTGTAAACTGTGCGGTGTAGAATTTCCCAAGCTGCCTCAACTTGATGAACTGCTTTACCATAACGTCTACGAGAGTAGGTTTTCAGCCATTCCTGCAAGAGTAATACCCCATTTCAGAACATCTACAACCACGATCGAGTAAAACAAGTTGAATGGGAAAATAAACAAAATGACACAGAGGCAATTCATCATGGCCTTTGGTTCCTTGATCCAACAACCACCATTCATCATTATTAAGCTAATAGTTGGTGGTTTTCTGAATAATATTCCCGTATTTTCATTTTACTTGGACTCTCTGACTTCAGTTTAATCATAAAATTTGAGCTGCATTAGGTTACCCAGCTGGATAGGATTACGAGAATGCCGAATGAAAATGACATGGGCCAAGCGTTAACAAAGGCCCAAATATAATTATTCATTAAAATATTAAATTTGAAAGGGTTGTAATTTTGAGAAACGAATAACTTTTACATCTTGAGACATTGTGTAAGCATAAGTTAATAAACTTGTGAGTCAAAAATGGTTGCAGCTGCTATTAATCGTATTCATGAATTATATGTAAATCTAAACAATAACATAAATGAAAAATGTAGACTAAACTAACAATGAAATGAAATGAAATATTTCTAAATTAGATGATAATTAATGCTCCAAAAGGTCCTTAGACTTTACAAAGGCATTCTTGCACATAAGGCTACATGATAAAACAATCTCTCCATGAGTAAGCATCTCTTTTGAAAAGCACTTGAGAGAATACCTCAGTTCTACCATGCACAGCCCTCAGCAGCAAGAGCAACATATAAATGACTTAATTATAAATCTGAATGGTGGTCACCATATTAAACATCTCAATGAGTAAACATTCTTATAACCATCAGTCATCGACAAAGTAGCAGTTGCAATGTGAGATAAAATTTTCTGGATGTAGTCCCAGACACCTCATATCTTTGTTAAATAATAATACTAGTGACTGTGCCCTTGTCAAATACGCTAGAAGTAACAGATTACCTTGCCCAGAGTAAGAAAGAAAATGCCAACCATAATTCAAACAGAAAGAAGGTAAAGTTCTCCAACATGTATTCATTTTCAATTAGAGAACTTCAATTACCTCAACCTGGACTTTATCAGATCGAAATGCCATTTCAGACATCAGCTCATAGACAACTGGATTTTGTTCTATTCCTTCCATGCACATGCCAACACCAACCTATGAGGAACATGGACAATTAGTAAGCTACATAGCTGAGCACTTGAGCTTAGCAAAGAATGTAAAAAGAGATGTCCAAAGAAGACAATGATATTTCTTATACTTTCTAAACACAAAGCTCTCTGATATTTTACATAGACAAATGATCTATAGAAGTAAACAATAAAAGACATCAAAACATTATCAAATGGCAGTTCTCTTGTAGCAATTTTCATTATTTCTGTCACAGACATACGCTGAGATCACATAATCCTATCAGGTACTAAATCATTTGTAGTCATCTACAAATTGATGACAATCTAACAACTTAATAGTGTTTGGATGAGGAACTTTAAAGTTCCCGACATGTTCAAAATGAAGGAACTAGTTTAGGCTTCATTGTCAGACATACTATAGCTCTTGCTGATTTCAGAAGAGTAGAATGCATGCACCCAGGACAACTTATCATACATAATAGTTATAACTCATAGCATACCATGGTCGAATTCTCACTGACACGGGCATCAACTGGACCTGAAGCAATTGCATCCAATATGCCATACATTTCAATATTTCCACCAAAGTTGTGCAGCATACACCTTATTTACATTAGAAATTGTACATTATTAAACAGACTATTTAATTTCAATAGAACTGATGGACAACAAACAACTAGAAGACATTTCCTGAAGATTGAAAGTCTTAAAATACATTGAATTGTGGCAACTCTTGATGGAACTATAGAAGATGTGACTACCAAATATAAGGAGTGCCATAAAATTGAGACGATGCCTTCCATATGGGTACAACATCAGCAAATAGATCAAGAACTATCATCCTCCCAAATGGAACAGAATGTAGAAGTGCCTGTCAAATATAAACTAAAAAATCAGTAAAATTCATTGTAAGAAACAGCAAATGCATGACAACACATAAGCATGTGTGTATGGGCAGTATTTTTGCAAGTGAGAGAGTGACTAGAATAACACAGAAATTACTAAATCAATGACTAATTCAGAAATATCAAATAACTCGGGGCCTAGTTATTTAGAACAGACGTAGACATTAACAGAACAAGAGGATCGGGTCATTGGATCACTGTTAAACCAAGGGAACAACTATTTCGCAAGTATATAGTTTAAACTATAGAGAGAGAAAATATATGAAAAGAGTTGCATAGTTACTTAGATCAGACGCAGACATTAACAGAACAAGAGGATCGGGTCATTGGATCACTGTTAAACCAAGGGAACAACTATTTCGCAAGTATATAGTTTAAACTATAGAGAGAGAAAATATATGAAAAGAGTTGCATAGTTACTTAGATCAGACGCAGACATTAACAGAACAAGAGGATCGGGTCATTGGATCACTGTTAACCCAATGGAACAACTATTTCCCAAGTATATATAGTCTAAATTATAGAGAGAGAAAATATATGAAAAGAGCTGTAAGGAGTTAACAAGAGTTAATATTATTTCTGTTTTATTCTTTAGAATACTAAAAGTTTACCCAGCCCATAGCTCAAGTGCTATCTCCTTTCCAACCACAGGGGAGGTTGAGGGTTTAAGTCCTCACTGGGGCAATAATAAGTGAATGTCTGCGTGTGAGTTTGGTGTGCGTTTTAGCTACCAGAAGAAACTAGATATAGTAAATTTTCTTTTATGGAGTAATGCATATGTATACGCATGAATGTATGTGTTTTTTTTTAAAAAAAATGGCACCATACTATGCTTATTTTTCGGCCATGTGTATTTATTTATATGTTGATATAATAAAATTATATTAGGGATCATTGCTTGAGCAATGGTAAAAAAATTGACTTGCCAAGCATGAGACCACAAGTTCAACTATGAGGGTTAGCTAATTTCTGCAAATAATGCAAATAATTTCTTCTAGCACCTTGAATTAGTTGAATAACACTTCATATTTCACTTGGCTCATCATAAATTTTTTATTTTTTATTTATGTATTCCTAATATTATCCATATCAATTTTATCAAATCACCTAAACAAAACCAAGACAAATACCTAATGAGCACCTAAGGTATTGCCCTGGGTGTTCATTAATAATTTGGATCAGCTATACTAATATCTATTAGTTATATCACAATACAGCATGCCTCAAAGCATGATTAGACAGAAACCTTTAACATGCTGCAGCAATTATGGATGTAAAGAAGCAATGTAGCATATAAAGACAATGCGCATTCTTCTCACCATATAATATGCTGCAGTAATGCCAATGCATCTCTTGAAGGAGCAATTATCATTAGTAACAGTTCATGTAATAAAATGGTATAAGTTATATATCAAAGTTTACCAGGGCAACTGCCCAGGAACCTATTTTAGTGGGAGGGTGTCAGGTAGCCTCGTTTACGTATATTAACAGCCATGAAACAAGCAACCAACAAAATAACATAACCTTAGATGGAAATTCAATAAGACAAATGGCAGAGTTTACTATTTGAACTTATAAAATGAAATATGACTGCACTGGCAAGGAATTAGAAAGATAACATGATAAGAATTTCTTTCTTAAGGTAGTGCATACTTTCATTTGTGGTGGCTTCCAGAATGATGAGTCTGATGAGAATAGCCAACCCTGCACATTAGTAAATCAGTCAACAGTGTCATTGTATGTATCATAGAGCATAAAACCAAAGCCGTAGTCTGTGCGGAGACTTGTGAATAGGAAGGTTTAGGACAGAAATCCTATCTACCTTTCTGAAGACAAGTGCAACCATGCTGTAAAGTGGAATGGTGTGAAGAAGATAATAAATACATTCATTAATTCATATAACACAGAAGAGTCCGTAAGATAAAATTAATCTACTAATTAAGAATGTGCAATGCTTGTCATATATAGAAAGAAGAAGAAGAACATAATGTATCCCTCAATTTCATATGAGGCTGTTCACAGATTTCGGAAATAAATCAGGCTGGAAACTATCTAGTTCAAGGCATATTATCTTTAGTTTCAGATGTGTCTTTTATGCTTAGTCTATTTTCTCTCTCTTTTTTTTTTTTTTTTGACAAGTTATATCAGAAGACACCAACCCATGTACACAGGACTTGAACAGAGCTATACAATATGCTAGATCTCCCAAAAACTCTATAAAAGAATCTGTCAAAACTGAAGATTTTCCACTGACAAAAAGGGAAAGGAGGGATCAAGATTAGGTGCATAACTCTTCAAATAGGCAACTCTACCTTGTTAAAGGTCCACATGTTTTTTTTCCCCGCCAAGTACTCCACCAAATTGGAGCTCCCTACTAAACTGCTCTAACTCTCCTCACTATTGACCCTTCCTAACTGTCCACCACCAAGTGTCGCAAAATTTCAAACACTGATCACCAAGACATCAATATCAATCGTATAATGACTGGATATAGATGCGACCTTGTTTAACCAATATATTATTAAGTTGTAATACTCAATTCATGGAGATATTACAAATTCAAATACCAGAGGGCAAGGACAAAACAGCTAAATCACACATCAGATGCATTTGAATGCGAAGACATGAGGTACCACTTTGACACCATCAAGGAAGACAAGGAAAGCAGAGCTATAGCAGAAGCAGCCATAAAGAATAGAGTCGTGGAGCATGTGAGTGTGGAGAGTGAGGAACATACCTGCATTAGCCACACAGCATCCTCATCCGCTTTGGACATTGCTTTATAAACGGCAGCTCCAAGAGTTGAGATATATGTCGGATCACTTGTAGGTGGGGAGTTCTCATTGAATGTATCACTGTTACATATGTTAACGCGTAATTCAATATTTCATGTGAACAATGCAAATGAACAGTTGAGAAAGGAAAAACGCAGCTCAAAAGAAAATACAAAATGAAATGTGAACAAAGATCATTTTATCATACAATTGTTCAGAAATATATAGTGAAGGACAGGAATATTTCAACTAATTGATACAGCACAATGAAAATTACAAAGGATATACAAGCACAATAAGCAAGTCAAAACATTAACAAAGCTCATCTAATACAAGTGGGCAAAAATGTAACATATTGATATTCAGCATGGTGAACGTTTTGAGCCAAACCCATGACAATATTGATAGATTAACAAGCGCTTTTACTGTAAATTCACTGAAGAGTTAACAACGGTAAATTAAGATGTGTTCAAGTCCAATCGAGAGAGAGAGAGAGGGAGGGAGGGAGGGGGGGGATATAATAGAATGTACAAGAAAAACTCAATTATATTGGCAATAAAAAGTAGACTCTATTGTTTAAAAGAAGAAAATAATTGGGCAAGTAAAATTATAATATACAAGTTTTTGTCATCTCAGATATTATTAATTATGATAGAAATTTTTTAAATCCCCCGTGGGTGCAAGATCTTTAGAAAAACACCATGACAATGAAGAATAAGGATTGGGTTTAACTAGGTCTTCTGAAGAATAGTTGAGACCATATTAAGAATTGGTAGAAGGGGGTTAAGGTTATAATTAATAGATCAATTCTAATCTTGGTACAACCAAGTTTAAGCAACACCAAGCAAAAACATATACAACTTATAATTCCCCAAATTAGAAGACAAAAGATACAATTACACAAGCTTAGGGCCCATCCAAGCCCTAAGCTAATACCAATAAAGCTAAGTATAAGGGGGGCATAAGATATTGGAAATAATAATTTAAAAATCCTGTAAGGCCATAAAAGAAAAATTGTTACTTAAATGTGAAAATGTAAAGGAACATGAGCTCATAAAACATGCTTCAAGATGGCAAGTTATATTAATAAAATTTAAATAACCGAAATTACCAGTTGTAAATGTTGGTGACATCCCCGTATTCTGCCGTATTTGTACAGAAGATGAAACAACAAAGTAGTCAATGAATCAAATAAAAGTGGAGATAGAGATATAATCTTATGAGGAAGATCTTTTGTCAAGAAATCAGACACTTCTTTTTAAGTCTTAAGCAATCAAGCAATTAATATGACACAGTCAAAAGAAAGAGAAAATGATGCATCAATGTCAAATTCATTAACTAAAAACAAATTTATGACTTCAAAATTGAACACACTTTGCGTAATTGAAAATTAAGAAATAATGATAGTATTAAAACTGCTTTGACCATTTTCAAATATCTTAAAAAACCACCAAGATTTACTGAATGATGACAAAGGCTGTGTAAGTCTACGAGTATGTTGGTGCAGAAAACAGATAAACCCAATGGCAAATATGAAGAAATAATCAAGAATGCGATATTTCTAAAGAAAAAACTGAACAATAATAAAGTTTGGTGTTCTCATTACCCAAAGGAACATTTCATTACTCATTCTCAAGGAATAGAATGACAAGGCTTCTTATACATTCTGTTTAGGTAGAATTTATAGCAATAAATAACGCAGTGTTGCCTCAATAAAATAAGACATTAGTACCCCTACTTAAGCAATTCACTTGACAGAATATGACTTTTAAATAAAAATAAGGCCCTAATAGTAGTCTACAATAAGGGAGTAAACATAATGTTAACAAAACAGATAGGATTTATTTTTTTAGTGGCTTCACTTGACTTGGCTACACCTCTTTAATGCAACTGTATAAACTTCTCCTGGTTGGCTCGGATGAGAAGGTCCTTATAAATTCAGCATCCAGTTCTGGGGTCAATCTTCTTCAACGACTCCTCCGCATTTTGTGTAGTTTAACAAAGCCATATTTATCTAACCACTTTGCCAAGAACCATTTGTACAGGTTGCCCCTCCTAGACTTACCTCTTTTAGTCCAGAAAGAGATCTTCCATAAAACCTAATTCCCTTTTCTGAAAATGATCAATCAAGCTATCTGTGGTTCTCAACTTTCTCAACGCATTTTTCATCTCACATCCTGATCTTACAAAAAAATAATTTTTATTTTTTTTTATAAATCTCCCTGAAGTTACTATATTCCTTTAGACCTAACATTATTATTTAATTTTCATTAAATAATTTCTCAAATGAATTTTCCACCTTTCACCAAGATCTGCAGATCATCATTCATGATGCAATTTAAAATCTCAGCTTTCCTGTTCCTTAACTTAGCAAATCTATATATATTCTTTCTCCCCATTCTTTGTACGAAATTTAGAACAAATATAATCATATGCTTCATATATAACATCTCTTACTCCATATTTAGCATCAGCTTCTTTCTTTTTCACACTCACACTACAAATGAAAATGATTCACAAGTGGATTACATATGCATGTATACAAAACATACTATGCAAGTGTGTACGCATGTCTGCAGGTAAAACTATGTTCAGATGCATATGATGTGTGCCTATCTATACATAATTACATATACAAGTACCAAAATTATGCTCACCAATTCCATAGAGACTATAATGAACATGAATACATACCATTACAGCAATTCAAAATTACGTTTTTACATATTTCCATTTCATTACCCCAAGAATCAAATGATTTTCAATGTCAAAACCATCAAACAATAGGGAAATCTTCACGCTTTGTTAATTTTACTCAGAACTCAGGTAACTAACAGACTGGTAGCGAACCTTTAATTTGTCTCTTAATAAAAGCCTCTCCAATTTCCACAAATAAAGGATCAGAAGGATCGAGAAGGAAAGTACAACACCACCGAGGATCACCATCAACAGTGTTCCTAAGATGAAGGAGAAATGGGAACTTCAATTTGTGGATAACATACGAGAAGCAGAAAAATTTCAAGCTTCAAAAATAAAATAAAATTTCAGCAGGGGATGTTAGCAAGAAGATGACCCAGAAACTACAGTATTTACATAAACCTTAAAATAAATATAAAAGCAAAAATTGGCACAAAATATAAAATGAAATACGGTATTAGAAGTCCAATTCATGGTAGATATTATGTTCTTTTTTTATTTATTTATAAGTAAGTATTCAATGAAGAGCAACCAAAAGGGGGGCGCGGCCCAGAACAACTGCACAAAAACTATAGCCTCAAGCTATCCACAAAAGACAAAAGAATCTCCATAGATTTACAATTAGAACCCTGAACCCAAAAGAATCTTACTGTTTCCTTTTTCTTCTATTGGGAAACTTTATTGAAAGCAATGAAGATTTTTTATTTTTTATTTTTCCAGAAAGTAGGCAATGAAGATTAGGGTGTGATAATATGATCACAATGTATTGTAGGAATGCATTGTTAAAAATTTGCAGCACCACGAGTGCAATATTACAACTTGTAAATTTGAAACATGAAAACAGCCCCAACTTCTTAAGAACAACAATACTTCCAAAAAGATAAAAAAAAAATGAAGTGACTTTTTTTATAGAATAAAGAAAATATAGGCACATCAAAGAGCAAAAGTGGAATACCAGTCCCCAAGTCTACTTATATTTGCAGAAGGAAATATCTCTTTCAGTACCGCTGGCACGTTCCCAGAGAATGATGGCAGTACTAGAAAGAGAAAAAGGAAAAATCTCTGATCAGACAAGTCATCAAAATAACGAGGAAGTTCATTAGAGAATTATATGCCCCTTTAATCAAATTTTAAATTGTGTAAAGAGATATGTAAATTGTCAATGGATAATTCTGTAAAACATAAGGAGTCACAGAAACCATTAAGGAAAGGTCCTTTCAGTACTGAAGCTGAATCATACCTGGAGTCATGCCCAACTCTATCATTCGAGATAAAATCTGTTTCTGCAACACCAACTGTTGATCCAACCAATTTTGTGACAAAGGCCCACCCCACCTGTGATATGATGAATGTTAGAATATAAAAGACAAAAGCAAAAATACAGGGCAAAGTGATATTATCATCGTGGGAACAATATATAGAGGGAGGGGTAGGTATGACTATGTGGGTCAATTTTTATTGTTGACAAAATATGCAAGTATCCAGACAAGAAGCAATGGCTTATGTAGCTCATCAAGAAAATATAATAAAATGCACTTCATGAATTAAAACAGAAACAAATAAAGTCTCACTTCTTTTCATACATATAATATCCACAAGGGTACATCTTAAACATCAATACTTTAATAAGTAATAACCAAACGATAATCATGTGGAACAGCAAAAAAGAGTACAACAGTGGAATTAAGATCTCAGGAATTCAAGAATGATCGGCTGTCCTATCTTCCATCTCATTAATCAACCCCCGGACAACAAAAAGTGAGATTCTCGTTTAAATTCCAATATTGACTAATTTGAGATGAACACCAAGTGCATTTTCAGTTTAAAAGGGTGGTGAGAATGCCAAAATTGCATAATGAGAATTTTCCCTCCACAGCTATCTTTTTATGATACAGTAGTACACTAGTGATTTTCTTCTTTTCTCTTACATTTTGGAATGTATTCTATTGTAGCTACATCTTTGAAATTTAACACCATTTTCATTTACTGAAGGAACTTATGCTACGTTTGGTGTGCAGGAATGGAATGGAATGCAAGTGGGAATGAAATAAGAATTGGAATGGAATGGAATGGCCATTCTCATTCTATTTTTTGGTTGTAAATATGAAATGTGTAGGAATGGAATGATAATAACCATTCTAGTGTTTGGTGGGACCAATTTAAAATTTAGAATGGAATAAAGTTCAAATTGAGTTCTCCAAAATATCTCTCTTACTAATAAATAAATTAAATTAACAAAATGACATTCTTCTATAATTTTTTTTTAAAATAAATGGTGGCAGTGGCGGCGGTGGAAAGTGGTAGTGGTGTTGGAAGGCGGCGGCGGCAGCGGCAATAGTGGAAGGCAGCGTCGGTGGTGGTAGTGGAAGGCGGCAATGGTGTTGGTGGAAAGCGGTGGCAGTAGTGTGGTGGAAGAAGATTGTGGTGTAGGTGACGGTGGTGGAAGCCAATGGAGGTGACTATGGTGGTGGTGGAAGGCAGTAGAAGTGGCGGTGGTGGAAGGTGGTGGAAGCCTTCATGATATATACTATTAAACTAGATGCAATGAAATGTAAATTGAATTATATATATATGAACTCTCAAATTACAATTTCTACTTGAAAAAGAATATGTTAGACATATATATAAATATATATATAAGAATCACATATGCATACCCGTGCAAATTTCCCATGCGCGCCCAGGCAAGAAAAGCAGGTCCACCAAAGAAATCATTCAAATCTTGCGCACTAATATTAAAATCCTGCTATCAGAAAGTAAAAATTAGAAGGATAGAATTGAACTTGGAGCGACCCCAAGTAATTCGGAAAAGGCTTGGTTGTTGTTGTTGTTGTAGAATTGAATTTGGAAGTACTCATTTAGAGCATTGAGTGAGGCTGTAACTTAAACATAAAATTAACCCAACGCAGAATAGCATGAATAAGCTTGAGGGGTGGACCACTGTAGGGATTCGGTTTTTCAAAACCCTAGAAAATAGATCTAATTATAGACACTAAGTTTTAGAAAATTTACAGTCCCCCTCCCCCCAACGAAATATTAAAACATTTACTTCTAAATGGTGTGACCCCTCTCAATATATTAGCAATTTTGTGTATATCTAAGAAAAATATGCTAGATGTATTTTTGCATCCATGACTTACTGAATATAAAATCCATTTGCTATATAAGTAAATCTTAGATCTTCTTGCATATTAAAAAATTATACTGGTGCTTTGTAAAAGAAAATTTTATATTATAGTCTATTATATATATATATATATATATTTGTATTTTAGCCTGGCCCCGAAACCAAGAATTCCAAGGTCCCATGGCTTGAGTGGCCATTACAAAAATAAAATAAAAAAATAAAGCTAGCCTTACACTCTGAACATTGCAGTTGGATTATATAATTATAATGTGATGGGATTTGATATTTCACTTAATGACGTCCTTAAAAGAAGCCAGACACAAAGTTTAAGCTCATTTACACATCTACGTAGGCTTATAGGCTTACTATTAGTAACTTTTAAACACTGAAGAGAGGATCGTGGAGGACAAGTATGACTACTTTCGTGGTCATTACAATTTTCAACAGGATATATTACATATCAAGCCAGAACTGAAGATTTTTAATATATTTAGACACCTCATTCAAAGAAAGCTACGCTGAAGTCCGAATTCACCAAATCTGACATCAATAAAGATGTCTTTGCTATTAGAATGATGCAAATTGTGTTTATCCATGTCATAAAATGATGGAGAAAATAAACTTAGCACAGAATGCAAGTCAATATAGTGAATCTACATTTGTCAAAACAAAAGGAAACCCTTTAAGTGATAATTTGATACCAAATAAAAACAAAATAATACAAATAATACAACACTGTTCATTTCACACTGAAATGACAACACGAGTTCCAACAAGTTCTGTGAATATAAAGGGGTAACTGCCTAGCAACAAAATAAATGATATCACAAATAGCTAACGAACCTAAATATTTTAAAGAGTGAAACTCCTTCTAAGATAAGAAAAAAAGTTTGGAATACATATAAATACAAATACATCGTATAAGTTCCAGTGCCGTTCACACTTCAAACACACATACTATGTAACAAAAATACATTAGAGGGGTCATATTTTTAACATTTTGTTTTCTTTCATTAGATGTGATTTCTATTTTAGCTACTATAGAAATAGGAATATGGTTTTATGCTACATCTCAAAGTTCTTTCTGTTGCTTTCAGTTTTAACTCTATTTCTACCATTGAAAATATGCCTATTTCCATCTTAGACCAGCCTCATCTTGAAACATTTTTTCTCTCTACTCTCAAGCATATAATATGCCAATGCATACCATTTTGCAGTCGGATGGTTCAGGGACAACAACTTTTACAAATTACAAAAGCAATAATCTAGCAGAGACAAGCCCTGCCAAGGAGAATCCAGGCTCAAAATAGAACAGACTCGACATATATTGACCATTATTTGTTGGACAGAGACGCAAATTCAATAATTATGACTTATCTGCATACTATCCAGCAACATTAGATCTCATTTACCAATAGATAAAGAGACATGTAATTTTTTTGCATTCCAGCAATGTATCTTGAGCTAAAATTTACAAGCACTCTAATTTTGAGCTCTAACATGGTACAAGACTGCTTTGTAGGCTTGTAGCAGATAAGAGACTGGTGAGCATATCAAAATAGATAGCAGTGGATATATTTGCTTACCGAGAAAACTTTTTTCCAAATGGCTTCTTGACCTGTAAATGCCAAAGGCAGGTTAACTCCTTGAAGAGCCATCCAATCTATCTCCTTCTCCCACCTTCCCCAATCCCACCAAACATATGAATCTGAAAATAAGATGATGAAATTATGTTTTCAGTATATATAATAGCTATTGACAACAGCATCATTAGAAAATGTCAAAATCAAAATATCAATAAAGTTGGCATTTTTCCCCTTTCGATAACCTGACAATAAAAAATAAAAATAAAAATTAATAGATAGGTTCTTCCTTTTAACAATTTACAACTGGTGAAAACAAAAAATTGGCAGAAAACACAAACCAGCAAATATTATATGTTTTTTTAAATGTTATTGTGATGTTGTGTTCCGAATTTTGTTCGGCTCGGGTCATGCTGCGACCCGGTCCACCCGAAATGTGGGCTTTGTGTGGGCCCGGTTGACCCAACTTTTCTCTTGCGGGCCGTGGAACCCCTTTTAGACTCTCTTATAGCCCAGTATATAAGGGCATTTAGGGTTTAGGGTGTGATAATGTGAGAACACTAAAAATTGCAGGAAAGAGAGTGAGAAAGAAAGCTAGGGTTTGGGGGATGAAACTTGTAATCTCTTGTTTTTTGCATCGTGAATTCTCTCGCCGGATCTTCACCGTGGACGTAGGCTTGCTTTAAGCCAAGCCACGTAAATCTTTGTGTTCTTTGTGTGTGGCATGTTTACTTTTCTTTCATATTTTGTGATTATTTCTTGGTTCGCAGCTGTTTGTTGTAACATCATCACTAGTTAAAAGTCCCATGCCTTCATTGAAGATTAAATTTTGACAGCCTAAAATGTCTTAACATGAATTATGTCTACTATATAATTGTATTATTGGACACTAGTTACAAAGTCATTGTATTATTGGACATGCGCGTGACAAGATTATTTCGTAATTCAAGTATTTGTGTCTGCTATATAATTGTAAATAAAGCACTCTCATTATATTCCTTTAGTTACATTATTACTTCAAAGTGAGTGAAGTGCACATATTGAACAATTTATGCTACATGAAAGTTTTAATATACTAGGAAATATAAGAAAAATGTTACATGTATGAACACTCAACCATGCCCAGGACCATAGATTTAGAGATTTGATCATTCGGATGCTTAGAAAAATGATACACATACCCAAGCCTGTGTAACATAGGCTGGAAGAATGGTTTTAATAAGTAATTGTAGTCATGCTTGCTTCTTTTCTTTGAGTAGAATAAGTGAAGGTAGCATGAACTTTAATAATTAAAGTTTAATAGAGAATAATCTATTATCAGAAAAAATAAGATAAAAATGCATTTTGATGAAACACACGCAGAGATTTCCTCGGAGAAAAGAAAAAAGAAAGGAACTGCAGGAAAATACAATGTCACAAAAAATAAGCTAGGAGCGACTAACGAAGCATAAGACTCAAATAGTGGAGGGGATCAGTATCCACAGTTGCATCATAAAGGCAGTTGTAACATAGATTCATTTTTTTTGGTTCAGTTTAGGTAATGACAGGAGAGAATGATTAAATTATGCAATGGTTTTCAATGCATACCATCTACCCAAGATAAGAATGATAACTAATTAAAGGAAAGGGTCAGGAAGATTTAGTGCTTACAACTGGAAGTAACAACATTTTGGTAATAATTCCACTGGACTGGACGTAGAATCGTAACTCCCTCATCTGAAACAAGAGGCAATGCTCCAGGCTTGGGGACAGAAATTATCTGAATGCCACCCGTCTTGTCCCATGAAACGTGAACACCACACCAATATTTTAAATACCAATGCAGGCCAGATGCAATTTCAACTGCTGTAGTGCCTTTTATCCTAGAGAAAAGCGTAACATCAATAATTTCTGTAACCATGAACTAAACATCTCCTTATTTGTTCTTTTGGGAGAATTTGATATTAATACAAAGTTTCCAACTACTGGACCTACCTTTTTTTGTGTGTGAAAAATAGTAACAATAACTAGACAGAAGTTAAAGTATGTCTTCTATCAGCACTTAGTAGTAGTTTATTTTAAACATCTGAATTTCTGTTATCTCAAACAAGGGTAAGGGTGCAAATATCTGGGATATCAAGAAAGTAAAAAACCAGCAGACTTAAGATCACTGCAATCAGGGACCAATGAGTGGCTACATTTCTACAACCTCTGTTTAATATCACAAGTTTAAGCATCTAAACTAAAGTCAGATGACTAGATGCTAATATCTCGTAGAAATTAACAGCTCCAATGTGCCTCAAATAGAACTTAAATCAGGAGTAGCATTGAGTTAGGTCTTAGGTTGAATATTGCTTGGCAAAAAGATAGAAATGTCAAATCATGAGAAGTAAAATCAATTCCATACCACAATTTATGCTGATGCATCTAACAGTGAACCCATTTTCAATTGTTGCTATCACCATAACATGCTACATAAAACAAAAAGGACGCATCAAAGACCCAAGTTGCTCTAAAGAAGTTTGATATGCTTCCAAGAACCAGGTATGTCCACACTTGCTACATGAGCAAAGAGAACTAGAAGAGAGTTACAACATATCTAATTTTGGAATTATCTATACCCACATCCATCTCAATACTCAATCGACCGAACATAAATATAATATATATACACACATATATAACGTACAAAGATTTTGCTGATGTTTGAAAGTCTCTAGGAAGATTGGACCGTGAAGAAAATAGCAATTTAGTCCATGCAGAAATCAAATTCTACATACATTATCTCTGGTGCATTCCTGCCTGAATTCTTGTAATTGGTTATCTGAAAGCAACTGCGTCCACCACAACCATCCTAGTATTTGAAACTGAAAACAGTTAACTAATTAAAGTAGCATCGTATCAATACCATCACTCTCAAACTTAAAAACAATTGAAAAGACAATAGTATCTCACCAACCAAGAATGTATGAGAAGTTACTGATCAAAAATAAAAATAAATACAATATAATATAATTAAAGAAAATTATCCACAGCTTGACTACTAAAGCCTCAGAACATAGAGAAGTTTACAAATGCTTCTCATTTCAAAACGACCAGTGATTATCCCATCACAGGAATTGATTGTGCCTCAGGAAGAGAGGTCACATTTCAGAAGCGATGAAGTCCTTTATGAGCAATCTTTTTTCAATATTTCTTCACATGTTAATTGCAAAATATGCAGGTTATATTCTTGGCATTTATATGCTGTTTGTTAATAGGAATTCTATTTCTTTGTGTAGTAATTGTTTTGGATTCCTTTATATATACTCCACAAGAATGCTTATTTTTCTATCTAAATATTTAACGCAGGTACCACTATACTAATGAAATATGAATTTGTACCTTACTCAGTAACGTGTTACTGATCTTCCCAATGTAAATTAATAAGAGCGGAAAGGTAAAAGAAAGAAAAAAAATGGTGAAGCACAACAAATGGATTGCTTTCTAGAAATAAAGGCACCTTTCAGATAACATTTCAATGAGTACCTACATTGTTTTCAAAGAAAAAAATGCTAAACTTTTGCTCTCAATGTCAAGTACTACCAATATGCCAGTTAAACAATACCCAAGTGAAAAGTTTAAAATCTCAGTCACAGTAACTCTGCTCCCCACAACATTTTTTATTTGCTAACTACATTTCAGTGATGACTCTGAACATATAAGTAAAAGACAAGAAGTAAAAACCTTTGATCAATAAAATTTTCAATTATTAGAAACCAAGAAAATAAACAAATTACAAAACACACACGCCCACAACTAAGCAGTCTAAAGTGCTTTTTTGATAAAACTAAAAATTAAGTAATAAAAAATTTTAAGAGATGATTATTAAGTGCGGAAGTTTATAAGTATTAACAAAAATAAAGATTGTTTCATATATTTTTGAATTTTAAGTGTTTAGCATTCAGTGGTAAGCAATATTCAAATTACATTATTAAACGCAATTAATTAGATAATATTAGTGCTTAAACCATTCAGAATTAAATACTAAATTGGGTTATCAAATAACATCAAATTGTAATTTCTTTTCTATGACTTCACTTCTATAGACAATTAAGCAGAGCAAAACCCAGAAATTGAATCATACCAAATGTAATCATGCAACAAGGAAACAAGATAAAACGAGTCAAACCCAAGATTGAGTAATCCAAGAAGGTGATACTACCTCAGAGACGATCTTAAATTCAAAACTGGACAAATGGGTAGGAAGTAATCTTTGAAGAACAGCTTTGGCTGCTGATACTTGTACGGATGGAGATGACCGTTGGCCGTTCAAACGTCTGTATAGAGCCTCCATAGCATCTGGCTCTTCTGGTGATGGTGAAGAAAAAGGTATCAAAAGAATCAAAATAAGAAACAAAAATTTCGAATTATACATGCTTTGGTTCCGATTTTGATTGTTGTTGTTCTCAGGAGAAGAGTTTGAGACCGGAGTTATATCCTCCATTTTGGTAAACTTCGACCAATGGACCAGATCTCCAATGTAAAGACGATGGTCAAAGCTGTAAAACCATCTTGTATGACTAAATTGGTGTGCACGTGTGACGCCGGCTTTGGACTATCAGGTGGAATCGTGTGGCAGGTTCGGATTCCCAAGTCCTACTTAATTCGATGGAGTCCGAATATCAAAAATATAAAAAAAAAGTAAAGTGCAATTGACCAACACGGCTTACAGCTTTGACCATCGTCTTTACACGTGCACACCAATTTAGTCACATCGTCTGAACTATAATTTGCCCCCTTAAACTATTGAATTTGGTGCAATTGACCCTAATGTCACATCTCCGGCCAATTGGTGTAAACGAAAATAGTAAAAGACAATTTTACCCTTATAAAAGCAACCTTATGACCATGGTGACATGGAGGGGAGCTTCAATCAATGACAGACATACCCACGCTGAACCATGCCATGCAGCTTCTCCGGCGACGGCAAGCCATTTCATTAACTGAGTCGTATATGCGCTATGGGTCGAGCACCTTAATCACGAAGCTTCAACGGCATCAATGGTGGTCGCGAGACAAGAACAACGACTGGTGTGATTCAGTGCTTGCCGGGTTCTAAAATCAATTCAACCTCTCCGCCGGGAACTCCCAGTCGTCCCAACACGGCTTCTGGGCAGGAGCATTCAAGACGTTCGAAAAGCCAACAAGCGGTTTCGCCTTTTCCTCACGATCTCTGTTGTGATGGTGCAAACAAAGGTCCTGTAATTGATTCCACCCGATTAAGAAAAATTAGTCAATCAAATATGCGACAAAATGGGTTCATTCGGCGATGGAGCCATTAGTTATTCCGGCGGCAGTGAAGCAGAAGCTGAAGCCGAAGAGGTGACAATGGCTGCGGGTTTTGATCTACACTACGAGACAACCACCACCACGAACACCAAATCCAAAGCCCAAATTGAAAGCCAAGAACGCACAGCACGACCACCGGTCTTGATTTGCAGGTGGTTACCAAATCGTCCTCAATAAATCGATCTGCTGCAGTGGTGACCACTGCCGTTCCATCCCGCCAAGCCGCGCCGCGTTGCAATCTCACAACCGAGCTTCTTCTTCCATCGCCGGTCAACCCTCACCGGACGAGCTCTTCACAATCGACCCTTCCATCGTGGACGAGCTCTTCACAGCCGTTCCATCCCGCTGAGCCGCGCCGCGTCACAATCTTACAATCGAGCTTCTTCTTCCATCGCCGGTCAAACCCTCACCGGACGACCTCTTCACAGCCGACCCCTCCATCGCAGACGAGCTCTTCACAGCCGACCCTTCTTGCTCGATTTTGGTTTTTTTTTTTTTTTTTTTCATTTTTTGGATTGTATATTGTGTTTGGGCTTTACTTAGGCCTCGTTTGGTTGCGGCTCAAGCACTATCCCGGATTAGACAATAATAAGGGTACATGTGTCATTTGATTCACTTAGCTTAAAGGGTTGTATGGTCATTTAAAAAAATTTGAATAGTCACGTGACCGCTCATGTGCGTCTTTACGGTCAAATTCAACGGACTTGTCCTCGGACGGGGTTAATTGCACCAAATTGGTTAGTTCAAGGGGGTTATATGTCAAATTAATAGATCAGGGGGGTTTTCTGCTTTATGGCCAATAGTTGAAGAGGGTTTTTTGCACTTTACTCTATAAAAAATAAAAGAAGAAGAATTGAAAAAGATCGAGTCCGAACAGTGAAGGTTTTTTATAATGGAATTCAAATTTGGCCGTTTCATCCCTGCAAAACAAATAAATAAAAATCTAATCAACTAAACACATTGGTTTGAAAAATCAATTAAAATATAATGATGTTAGTTAGTGATGTTTCAATTGAAATTGAAGTGCACTCGGTCGACTCTAAGAAGTCAACAAAATGAGTTAAATTATCAATAAAATTTTAAAATCAAAATCTTCAAAATCAAAAAGTTATTTATTTCCTGATTAGTTTTTTACTTTAATAAATTTATTTTTTTTCATATTTATTTAGGGAGCTGATATTTGGCACCCCATATTTAACCTCATACTCTCCATTTCTTAAATTTAATAATTGAAATGACTAAGTTGTCCTTCTTTCCAAATAAATTTGGGTCTAACTCTTCAAAGGATCATATTTGCATAATAATGTGACTTAAGGAATGGATTGTCAAAGTGATCAATTTTCTTTTAGGCTTAGCTTCAAATAATGCTTGCTTTGCCAACAATTAACGTAATGTATTTTTTCATAGTTGACGAAAAAATTCCGATAATCAATTCAATGGTCTTGGGTCTCCTGGAGTGGTCAATTTCTTTCTCATCTCTCTTTTTCAGTCCATTGATTTTCTGTATATGTTTGGTGAGATGCTGTATAAAATCAATATGAATTTGGTAGTTGTATAATTGATTGAGAAGGAAGATGAAATAAAGTAAGAGATGAGTACACGAAACAAAAGGAAGGGAAAGGATTATGACATCTCCTTCCAAGTACCAACTGATAAAAGATTTGTATACAGATGGTCTAAAAGACCAAATAATTATTATCCACAAAATCACTTATAATTCCATTAACATCCATTCTCAGACATAATTACTTCAAACCACTTGTTTTTTCTTTGTCCCAATCAACTGTTGAAAGCTATGAGATTTTTGTCCTGAAGTTCCATCCACAAGTGTTTTTGTATACTTGATTTAATTTTCACATGTTACTAAAAAATTTAATTTATACATCCACATGCTTTGTGATGGTTGCCCATTAAGAGCAGCTTCAAGTTCCAACTCGGGCCCGCTGTCGTGATTTGGGCTCATTTTGGCTACCCAACTGCTTCATTGTGAATCGTTAAATTTGGGTTAATAGGAGAAAAATGGCAACCCTGTTAGTGAGCGCTGACTTGCCATGCGGGCCTGCCTATATTTTCTTTTTCTTTTTTTAAATTCTGGCCCAAGTTACTGTTTAGTCCAAATTTTGAATTTTAAGGGTATATTTGGCTGAAATAATACCAAAAAATTAGGTTTTTGAGTTATTTTGGTCTTTATTTATTTATTTATTATTTTTTCTCAAAATAATTGAACCAAGGAGCGGTTAAGGCACTGTTTGGCTGTCACAAACAGTGCCTTAAAAGCTTTTTTGGACCAAAAAGTAAAAAAATAAAATTAGAGAAAAGTGCTTTTTTTTTAAAAAAAAAAAAACTTACTTTTTTTAAGTATTTCTACTACATCATATGGTATTGTATTGTTTTGATTTTTATAATTCATAATAAATATTGTATTGTTTAAAATTTTTATATGATATAGTCGTTAGGAAAAAGTTAAAAATACAATTTATTAAAAATTTAGAAAAATATTAAAATTTTTTGAGAACGAAAATGCATTATATGCAATAACAAAAATTTGAAAACTCTAAAATGCTGATGTGGTTATGAAAAATGTTATCGTGATTATTAAAAAATGCTGATGTGACAAATTTAAAAAGCCTAATTCTAAACATTGGTAAATTTTTCAGTTCAAATGAGAAGACCATGGAAAAAAGGAGTATTGGCTTAATGTAAGAAACAACGGGTAATTATATTATTTTAATTACTAAAATTTAAAAGTGGAGCCCTTGAGGTTAAATGTGGAGCCGAATATCAGTTTCATACATTTCGACCACTTTTATTGTAAAATTAATAATACAAATGTTTTAAACAATATTACTGCCAAATGAATTAAAAAGTGTTTTAATTGTTAAATATTTAAATAAATTAAAAGTGAAGTAGACCCAGTGCAGTCCCTTCGGGCTGGTTGGGTCGGGTTTACGGGTTGAATTTATTATTATTTTTTTTTTTCAGAAATATATATATATTGTGTATATATATATAATATATTATTTTATATGTTTTATATATAGGGAAAATTACATATAAATGGAGTCAAAGTTCCATATTTACTTAGAGGCTGAGTCAAAGTTTCATATTTCTCTAAAATGGATTGCTGAGGTGGCACATGTTTTTTTACTGTTTATAAATTGTGGTGTCTAAAATACCCTTCCGCGAAAGTACTATTTTTTCTTCGAAGGTACTACTTTTTTGAACTGAAGGTACTACTTTTTGGCGTCCAGGTACCATATTTTTTAAACACCCGCAAAGGTACTACTTTTTCTCCGAAGGTACTACTTTTTTGAACTGAAGGTACTACTTTTTTATTAGGAAAGGGTATTTTAGGCACCACAATTTTCTAAACAGTAAAAAACCATGTGCCACCTCAACAATTCATTTTAGAGAAATATGAAACTTTGACTCAGTCTCTAAGTAAATATGGAACTTTGACTCCATTTATATGTAATTTTTCCTTATATATATTTGATTATATTATTATAAAAAAACAAAATATTTTTAGGGCAAATCATTTCAGCCTCCTCTATCGCCTCCATCTCTATTCTCTCTGAACTTGCCCTCTCTCTCTCTCTCTCTCCCTCCCTCCCTCCCCAACTGCAAACTACAAAATCTCAAGAATCAGAAGTTCAAAACTTTTTTTTCTAAATCAATTATTGATATTCTGAAATGATATGCCGATATGTGAGAAAGAAGAGAGAGGGAGGAGAGAGAAATGATATGCCGGTGGTCATTTGGGTTCTGTGAGAAAGAAGAGAGAGAGAGAGAAAGAAGCGAGAGGTGAGAGAAAGGAAAAAAAAAAAAAAAAAGAAAGGAAAAAAAAAAGTGGGGTTTCGGGTTGGGTTCGGTTGAGCCTAAGTCCAATCCGAACATGAACCCGATTTGTGAATCTAAAGTCCAAATTTCAAAATTTCGGGTTGGGCTTGAGTTGGACTGGGTTAACCCGGCCAAGTTGCAGCCTATGGGTAGACCCATCTAATAATTTCTCTTTGTCGTTTCCGTATACACCACCAACGACAACCTTCTCAAAACCCTTTTTGCCGAAAAAGCTAAAACCCTAATCGTTTCACGTCCACTCTCGCAGAGGCTGCGATTGAACGGTGGCGTTTCAGGAGTCACTTTCAGAGGCCAAATCCTATTCTTCAAATACTTGAACCTCAATCTCCAAACGATTATGGCAACAATGGAAGTCGAAGAACAGAGAGAAATGGACAACAACGTGATGTGTCTATTGACGGACCCAGAAGGGACTGCACTGGGAGCTCCTATGTACGTTCCACAAAAATTTGGACCGAAAGAGCTTCAACAAATGGTCAATAAGCTTATCAATAATGTAAGCTTCGCAAATTTGCTTCAATAAATGTCCAAAATCTAGTTTCTTTCATTTGGTTGTGTTTTAAAAGAATTGGACGAAAATTAGTTTAAAGTTTGACCTTTTTACTTTAAATTCAGAATTCAAAGCATCAAATTCATGCTTCCAAACGTAATTTCACTATTTTTTATTTTTTTATTTTTGAAGCAAACGTTGTTATTTTCTTATCAGAAAAGCGTGAAAAATAGTTTTGATTCTTTTTGTTTAACTTTATTCCATTGCTAAATAATGACCCAATAACAAAAATGAAGTATTTACGGCAAACAACAATAGTCAAGTTTCTTGTTCTATTTATTTTATAATGTTCTGCCAAATTTTGGTTTCCGGAATTATTTGTTTTAGTTTCAACAAAACTTTACCACAAATATATTTTGATCCAAATTGTAAAATCATTCAATCTTGATATACATATATACTCATTATATATTGAATTTATTCAAAACATCCTTTGTTTTTTTTTTTTTTTTTTTAACTCATGGAAAAATTTCACTCCAGTTGGTTCTCAACAAATTTGGCCAATTGGTTTTCCCATTTCGAATTTAGATTATGGTTGCAAGTTTATACATTATTATTATTATTATTATTTTCATCAAATGGAGAGAAAAGAAGTGTGACAGAATCATTATAATTTGATACGTTTTGATAATCTGTGAAAGGTGTGACAAAATCATTGTAATTTGATATGCTTAGAAGCCTTGGATAATCTGTGAAATTTGCATTATTCCATTATGTATACCTTGCCACAATTTATTGAAAATTTATTACTGTGAATGCATTATTTATAGAAAGTGGAAATCCATAACAATTAATTATATATATTTGATAAAAACCAAATTCCATGGGATATCTGAACATGCCCTATTTTATATTTTTGGGGCTGTAGTTGCGGTAACAGTAGAGATGCTTGTGTCTTAAGTTCTTAACTTCCATGAAGATAATCAGTTATAAAATTACCAAAAAATTTAAATAATTAGTGATAAAGCACTTGTTTTTGGTTTATTCAGGAAGAGAAGATGCCTTATGCTTTCTACATATCAGATCAAGAGCTTATTGTGCAACTTGGATCATATTTACAGAAAAACAAAGGTTAGCAGAAGTGGAACAAACTTAATGTCAGCATTCCAGCTTACTCTTTTTGATCTATTGGTAAAACTAATTTAGCATGGCATCGGATTTGTTGAATAATGAGGCTCTGGTTGAACATTTTTGCAGTTTCTGTTGAGAAGGTACTGACAATAGTTTATCAACCGCAAGCAGTTTTCCGCATCCGTCCAGTTAATCGTTGTTCTGCAACAATTGCTGGTATGGGATTTAGATTTTCTCCGTATTGTGAATCTAAGGATGATCTTGTGAATAGATACTTTCCATTTGTTTTCAACTTTTTACTTCTTGCTCTTATTTTATTATTTTTTTCTTTAACATGGAATGCTAATTTTGTTGGCTTGGATTGATTGGTATTCAATTTTTTTTTTCCCCATGACATTAGATTGCTTCAATGAAGTGTGACCATTTTAAAGTTGTTTAGTGACACTTATTGTGGTGGACCGGTGGTTCTTGAAGTGGCCATGATCTATTGTGTATGTTTTGTTGATTCAATTACTAAACATGTTTCCTATCCCCCAATTTTATTTTTTGGTTCTCAAACAAAGGATGCCATAGATTTTATCGTGATTGCCCGACTTAGCCAGTTTCTACAAATAAACTGAAGATCAGCCCCTGGAAGTTGTTTCAAACCTATGATTTAGGTTATTATTTGATTGATGGATCCATAAGGGACATGTCATTACTTGCTTGGTTATCCTCCTATGGATGTATAGAGAGTAACTTGTACTTGCTGGTATCTTTGACACCTTCTATGTTTTCGAAAAGGACAGTAAGCTTGTAAATTTAATTATCTTCGAATTTTTAACATTTGCAATTCTTAAATTTTCATTGTAGATTGTCTTGCTCATATTGGGTTTTGAATGGATGTTCATTTTTATTGTCCCACCGTGGAAATATATTTCAATAAAATCCTGATACTTGTTAAGTGGTAAAGTACAATTTTAGGAAACCAAATACAATTTATGCATTAAGATGGTGATCCCATGCTAATATTCTATACACTTGCATTTATAAAGTGTGGACCAATCCAGAGAGAGATTATAATTATCTTAAAATTAAAATAATTATCTTGGATCCAAATCTTTTTATGAATTGGTGAAGTGTTGTATGGGGATTTGTGTGTATAAAGAGTGGACCATTAAGAGAGAGACTATTGTTCAAATGAACTATCTGGGATCTGTCTAAAATGGTGATATGCTTGGGTGAATTGGTGATGACTTGCATTGATGTAAAAGTCCACGAAGAAAATGTGGTGTCAAAACGGGATATAAGTGATTGATCATCAACTATTAAGTGTGATCGTTGGAACTGAACTTAGTAGCTACGAATTTTGTCAACATTTATCAAGGTTCGAGTGTGATGTATTGTTGGTGGGTTATATTTTGTGCAATAAAGCATCATTGAGATAACTTTTGTATAAATTTGTTTGTTGTGGAGACACAGAAAATGACTTCCATTCATCATGAGATGGTGAACTTTTAATTGCTAGGAGGTGGATGGGGCCCTTCTCAAAGAGAGAAGTTAAGAACAAGGAACTTGTAAGGAAATTCAAACTCCTTGTAATTTCACAATTTACAGAGTATGATACCTGGGAAAATTAGATAAGTTAGATAGGAAGAAGTTCTATTAGAAATGTTTTTAAGTTTTGGTTCCTCTGTTGCGTCAAAATTTTCTCTCACCATCGGCAACCTTGCCACCACAAAGAAGTCAAGCTGGATTCCTCCCTTTATTTATACTCGTCAACTCATTAAGTGATACAGGAAAATTAGATAGGAAGAAGTTCTATTAGAAATGTTTATAAGTTTTGACTCCTCTGCTGCGTCAAAATTTTCTCTCACCATGGGCAACCTTGCCACCACAAAGAAGTCAAACTGGAACCCTCCCTTTATTTTTACTCATCAACTCATTAAGTAATATAGCTATCACTAACATGTACATTGTTATTGATTTAACATACTTTGAATCTGTTTAATGCTTTTGTCCCTGCAGGTCACACAGAAGCTGTACTTTCAGTTGCCTTTAGTCCTGATGGCCGACAGTTAGCAACTGGTTCAGGAGATACCACTGTTCGATTGTGGGACCTAAATACCCAGACACCACTGTTCACGTGCACAGGTTAGGGTCTTTGATGCTAATTAGTTTCTTACCCTGTTTACTCTCTACATAACTGCAGCATTATGGCCCACCCAAAAAGTCATCAAAAACTAAGTAGATGAAGAACCTTTGCAAAGGAGGATTGTTAAATTTTGCAAACATCTGATGATTATGGATTGGCTAATGTATATAATATTTATTTTTTTGATAAATATGTATATTATGCTGCATCTCTTTATGCTGATTGTATGCCACATGGATTTAGATTGAGTGTAATAAATGCCAAGAGAGTTATATCCCCCTTTCTAAATGCTGGATTTTTATGAATATCAACTAGGAACAAAAATGTTGGATTTGTTCTATCATTTGATTATGGGAATTATGGTTATTGACTTTTATAATACTTAATGCAAAACTACATGCATACAGCTCACCTGTATTGTGTTGCATTTTACTGAAAGCATAACTGCTTCAATTGCTTTTTCTGATACGTTAGATAGACTTAAAAAACAAAAAGGAAGGATATTCTAGAGAGCAGGGTAATTCCATCGCATGCTACGGTGATAATATGTAAATGTTGCTGCTAGTGTCATTACCTTTCTATTCCTGATATTCTGAATAAAAATATGGTGCTTATGTAATGTCCCTGATTGTTTGTTTATTGGCTTCAATGGAATCTTAAGCTCTTGGTCAAAAGCCAACCTATGTTATATTTTAGTTCTTGGAGGAGGGGAATGTATATCTAGTTTTTCTGTATTCTTTCGGCTTTGTTTGCTATCAATCCCATAACAGGGGTATGAATCCCATAACAGGGGTTTGGTTTGTAATTTCTTAGTCATTCAGTTGTTTTGCTGCTATCACATACTGCATAAATTTCCACCTATCATTTCAGAGTAAGGATCCTGTGCTGTTACAGAACGGTGCTGTAACAGCAGAGGGTCTCAAGTCATCTATTCATGTGTGCACACATCTTACCAAATGTTACAAGTTGCATATTCCCAAGATTTATGGTCAGTGTCCTTTTTTCCCCTTCTGGTATGATGAATTGTCTTCTCAGATTGTGGTTGACAACTTTTCAATTGTGCAACTAATATAGTTGAAATGTACAATACTTTAATGAACCTAATGAACGTGGTTACACACGTTCTATTGTCTATGGCAGATTGTTGCTTCAGATGAGGGTTGCTAATGATTTTGTTACTTAAGGATTTTATGGGAATGGCCATGAGGATGGCTGCTGTTAATGTTGAAATGGTACCAACACAGGCGATTAATTTTGTCATCCTTTCAGGGCACAAGAATTGGGTTCTTTGTATTGCATGGTCACCAGATGGTAAGCATCTTGCTAGTGGAAGTAAGGCTGGAGAACTTCAATGCTGGGACCCGCAGACTGGGAAGCCATCAGGCAACCCACTCATTGTAAAGTCCTCATATTTGAATGGCTTTTCTTCTTAGAAGTCTAAAAGCAATTCCTGAGGCACTAATAGTTGGAATTACCATGTTTCAGGGTCACAAGAAATGGATTACTGGCATATCTTGGGAACCAGTACACCTCAAATCTCCCTGTCGACGTTTTGTAAGTGCTAGTAAAGATGGTGATGCGCGTATATGGGATATTTCATTGAGGAAATGCGTTATTTGTCTTAGTGGCCACACACTTGCAGTAACTTGTGTGAAATGGAGTGGCGAGGGAGTTATATATACAGGGTATACATTCTATTGCCTTTTGAATTTTGCGAAGAATACTTGTTTTATTAAATTATAGTTCTCAAAAGCAGCGTAATCTATTGAAGCGATGTAATTCAATGAAGCATATATTTATATACATATTTTCATTTTCTTGTCTTGCAACAAAGATCTATAAGCTTTACCTGAAGAACTTGATAAATCTGTCCTTTTTTTTGAATGTCAAGACTTGCAAAGATGATGTTCCATTTTCAACCAAATTTTTGGTCATAATTAACATGAATTCATCGTCAATCTTTGATCATTTTTTATTTTTTTATTTTTTATAATCCATTATTGGCTTAACATCTCTGATGGAATCTGAAACTTCAGATACTACACTGTCTTATTCAGATCAGAAATTTATGTTAAAACATCTCTCTCTCCTCTGAAATATGACATACACAGAATATTCATTTTCATTTCCCATACTGCAGTACCTTGACCTTATATTGTTTGTATTCCATTCTGTAATTGAAAGCTAATTGTAAGCCTAGTTGATTTCTCTTTACATGCTCCCTTTTATAGATGCATGATTTACAAAATTGCTGTTTGGTGGTCCAACCAATATGTTTTTTGGTACATTGTTTTAGTAATTCTATTGACTGCTGGCCTATTAGTCAGAGGAAATTGCCCCGTGTCCAAGTTTATCGCAATTGGGAAGGGTGGGTTTGGTAGGGAATTGTTTCTAAAATTTTTGGTTGGCTGATGTGTTTGTTGCTGAAATTTAAACTACGAAACACTCATTCATTTTGTGTGAAGAGAAGTATGATTGAAGGACAACATTCTGATCAAATAAAGAAAAAGGAGGAAGTACAAAAGGCTATGTTGGACCAGAACGAGAACAACAAAATAAGCAAGCATTGAAGACCATGCATGCAGAAATGTAGTATACATTACTAAGAAATTTTCGAAAAAACTTTTCCTGAAAAATGGTCCTGATACTGATACGTTCTTAATGGGGAACAAGAAGCTTAAAATTACTGGAGGGGTCAAAACATATGTCAAGCCTCCTTTCCTCTTTTTTCATTTGTATGTGGTCCTATCAAGGCAACTATCTATAGCTGCCCTTTTGATTCAAATTTAATTCAGAGTAGAACACCATATTTGTGATTCAGCCGCTGATTTATAGATGAGTACAATATGATCCTATTTTTATTGTACTTGTATCTTTTCTATGAAATTTTTTTATATGCCTGCGAACTTTTTTCTTAGAGAGTTTAAGTCAACTACAATTTATTTTCTCACAGTTCTTGGCAAATCTTTAGCATCTTCCAGATTGATATAATGATATCTTCCTCATGTGCTGCAGATCTCAGGATTGTACAATAAAAGTTTGGGAAACTTCACAGGGGAAGTTAATTCGTGAATTAAAGGTAAGTACTTGCATATTTTGGTACTTATGGTTCTAATGGACTCTGTTTTTACTTGTCTGCATAGACTTGCTTGTTACTGGTTTATTCATTTAATTGTTACCACTATGAGTAATATTTGTAGGTTCTTGGCTTTTTTGTTTTGGCCTTAGAGGGTTTTGCTGACTTGACTGGTTAAGAGGAAATGTCCCACTACTGTCATCTAACTACAAATGGCAACATACCTCTTCATCTGCTCATCCTTTTTATGAAATAAGACCAAAATTTCAGAATAAGCACTTGAGTTGTCCCCCTCTCTATTAAATTTGCACAATACCCATATTTTTTTTTTTCTATAATACTAAATTGCATGACATGTTGGTTTGTCTGCATTCCATTTGCACATATTACTCCTCGTTGGTATCACACATACATATATATTGGTATGTCATCCAACTCCTCATATATTAGCACCTAAAGGTCTATCTTGCCCACCAATGTCAATCTTCAAGGCATTTTTATGTATATTATCAATGAATGTAACTAGGTGGGAAAGGTATACTTTCCAACATAAATTATTTATGTTAACAACCATCTACTCTAAAAGCTTATGCCATTTGAGAGGGTATTACTTAAATATTTAAATTGTCTAACATGTCCCCTCACGTGTAGCCTCTTTTTGGGTCCAACATGTGTTTCAATTTTAATCATCAGGGTGATGGTGAGGTTTGAACTCGAGTCCTTTTGGCTCTGATACCATGTTAACAACCATGTACTCTAAAAGCTTCAACTATTAGAGAGGGTTTAACTTAAATATTTAAATTCTCTTAACAATTTGCGACTGCCACATTATTAAGTTTTGCATCATTTGGTCGAGGGAGTTTTTATGGACTTGAATCTAGCCAAGCCTATTTCTGCAGTTAAAGGGATATATAACTGGATTGCTATTCACTCTGTCAATTTTAAGTTGAATCTGAAGAATTTATTGTCATTTCCTTTGCCTTTTTCTCCCTGTGGCTATAGAATGTCTGTGATCTTTGTTTGAATTTTGCTATATTTTGTCAAATAAGAAGCAAAATATTTTCTTTTTACATTATTACATAAAGCATAACCAACTGATATAATTAATGAAATATCCGAACACCTCTTGTCAAATGTTTGTCATCTTTGATTTTGCCAGTTTTATTGTCACTTGGATATGTATTGCATCCTTTAAGTTCAAGGTTCGGCGGATAATAATGTTGCCAGAGTGCAATATCTATTAACATTTAGGTTGCGCAAATGATTGCAGTGGCCAAAGATGAACATACTGTGTTATATTTTTTTTTTTTTTTTTTTTGATAAATAAAAAATTTTATAAAAAAAACACTCCAAGGGGGAGCGGAACCCAAGAACAATACAAAAAGCCACTCAATCCTTCAAAGAGGCCAAAAAATCAACAATTTCCTCCAAAGATCTATGATCTCTCCCTAAAACCCAACAAAAAATAGTGGAAATAATCGAGAATTTAAGCACCGAAATCGACATCGCCTTTCCTTCAAAATATCTCCTATTCCTTTCAAGCCAAATGCACCACCATACACAAAGCGGTGTAGCCCTCCACGCATCCTGACTGTGAGTCGCCACAGGGCAACCTCTCCAAGCCTCAATCAACCCTCTTGTAGATCTAGGCATAGAACATACTGTGTTATATGTTATTGCATATTCTCTCTCCCCCCATCTCTGTCTTCTCTGTTCAATTGATAATATATTGGTTATCCAGCTTTTCCTTTTGAGCTTCTTCTTGGGGAAAATATGCCCATCACATTTTCAACGTATTTGTAGACTTGAGATGGTGAATGGTTTTTTGTTCCTGTGCTTTAACTTTGATAATTAAGTCATTTGTTTCTTTACTATTCAACTTGCTGACCTTTTCTTCTTTCTTGTTTCTTTTTCTTCCCCCTCCATATTCTATGTTGCATTTAGGGCCATGGGCATTGGGTTAATTCCCTGGCATTGAGCACTGAATATGTTCTTCGGACTGGAGCTTTTGATCACACCGGTAAACAATATTCATCTCCAGAGGAAATGAAGCAGGTAACCTTTTTTCATTTTAATTGTTGAACAAAGCCTTGTGATTCTAGTCTCTTGTGAGTAAATTTTGGATTTGCCACATTGCCTTGTATTGTCATGCCGTTTCCCCCGTATACTTGTGCATTTAAATATATTTATTGATTTAAGATAATCATCAACACCTTCATTTATGTGCTATCAATCTACTTTTGGGTTCTGAAAAATGAACCTTGCCACACCATTTCTGTATATATGATCAGCCATCAATAAAAAAAAATTATTTCTAATCTACTGAGTGGTACTAATACTCCACCTACCTTCTACATAGACTTATTCACTAGTGCATTTATCTTTCCGTTCTCCAGATCAGAAATAGAGCATTATTTTCTGAATTTTTATGCAATTGAGCGGATTATCTCAGTTTCTCAATTCTCCGCGTTCATTAAAATTGAGTTGGATATTATTTTCAAGATAGCCGGTAGCATATTCGTACTAAATTAATACAAGTGTAATTTCCTTTGTAACTTTGTTTTATAGAACTTCAGTAAGTGAAATCCATGTTCAAAATAACAAGAGAAGAATTTTGATTTATTTTTCCAGGATTTTTTATTTTTATTTTTTATCATCCTCTTTTGTTTGTGAGAAATCCTCGCTTTTGGTGTGTGGCATTTTTTAGAATCCTTCCTAAAGATATCTGCGAGTACTGCAGTTTACGAGTTACTAGTATTGCAACTATTTAGAACTTCAGTAAGTGCTGTTCCTGCATAAGCAATTTCTCTGGGTTCATTAAAATTGAGTTTGGATATTATTTTTAAGATAGCAGATATCTTTAGGGAGGATTCTAAAAAATGTAATACACCAAATTAATTAGCCCTAGGGTGTTATGCTCCCTGGGAGGGCACCTCTATTATGAACTGGAACACCATGATTCTCTTAACTGATATGTCAAACTGTTCAGAAGATTGAGATATTAGATGGATGGAAAATTGTTGTTATAATTATTTTTACCTTTTCTGCAAACATAGCACTGCAACATTGAGAGACATTGAAAAAGGATGTCAGTTACAAAGTCAAACTAACTAGATCTAGGGTTTTCTATTCTCGGAGGAGGTCTAATGTTCAGTTTTAAGCCATTTCGTGAGAAAGGTGAATAGACTCTTGGTATTTATTATGTTTCTAGGGGAGAACATGCATTTACTGTGTGTGATCTTTGCAATCACCTTTGTTTTTATGAAGGAATGTGCTTTTATCATGTTATTATTATTATTATTTATTTTATTTTTTGCAAACATCTTTAAGGTTTTTTGGGAGTTCTTAACCTGTCCTCGAGTTTTAAGAAATGATTTGTACTCTTGGATCTGTTTCTTAATTTTTATTCTGCAGCGTTGTTACACTTGTACCGGCATTATTTTTATTGGAGTTTCACTAGATAATACAGTTTCATGATTTGCAACTCATGTCCCTTCAGAGCACTCCCCTCTTGGTCGCCTTTTAATGAAATATTGCTAATAAAAAAAAAAAAAATGATTTGCAGCTCATGATATTGTTCATAAATTAAATTCTACTGGGAATCACATCTCAAATACATTTAATCTAACATTTATAATTTGAACTATAAACATATTAAATTTTTAGTGGAAAAACTTCATAGTATGAGTACTTAATTGATTCTGCTGAAATTTTGTACAAGTTTGCCCAATATATAAAATTAGTTTTCTCTTCTTTATAGTTTTGAACAGTAGTAGTCACGTCCAACCTGTAGTAATACCATGCATCAAATCCTTAAGTTCCTGAACTTTCATAGACAACCAGGAGCCTTATAGCCCAGTTATGTCTGGTGGATTCCCAAGCGATTAGGTGTTGTTGATAACTCAATTGAGCACTCAAGTGTCAAAGAATAAAGTGTGTTTAACTCAATTTGGATAACACTTAAAAGAATAACTTTCACTAAAAATGGGATAAAATTTTAAGTGATGGGACCTTCACTTACTATTGAACACTTAAATTCAAACAACTATCAAAGAAATTCATGATTTATAACTTTTCTCCTGAATATGATTTATGTTTAGCACTTAAAATTTCTTAAAATTTTGAGTCTCAATTTCAAATTTTGTCAAACAGCACCTGATGTTCATGGTCTAAGTTCAAGCCTACTATGGTAATTTTCTGTTTAGCAGAAGTATGAAGTCCTTGTGATGAATATTGATCCATGTTTTGATACGTAAATTCCAACATATCTAACACTGCTATTTCAATTTTCTAGACATACCAATTCAGAACTAGTTCTGCTTGGATGTTCCACTAGTTTCATTTCATAGAACAAAATATAAAGATAATGGATAAATAATCTAATAGAATAGGGAAGTTTAGATGGCAGGAATGAAAGAAAAGGCCATTGCATATCAAGAGCTCAACATGCGTAAATTGCATTTAGTTCAATTCTTTTACATAATTAATTCCAATATAACATTTTTTTTAGTTAATGGACAAATTGTGGAATCAATGATACTAATTGTCATTATCCATTTTTTATCACATTCTGTTTTAGGTTTCCTTTGTGCTCTATTTTCTTCCTTCCCTTTTTTTTTTAAATTTTTTATTTTTTAACAAAACTGATTATGTATCCTTTTTGTTGCTGCTTCAGGTAGCTCTGCAAAGGTACAACAAAATGAAAGGTGATGCCCCTGAAAGATTGGTTTCTGGTTCTGATGATTTCACCATGTTCCTCTGGGAACCTACTGTCAGCAAACACCCCAAAACTCGAATGACAGGCCATCAACAGGTACAAGTATTTAATTGTTATGCCGTTTTCTGTTTCTAGTTGCAAAACAGTTGTCTATCTTTGTTCATTGGAAGTACAACGTTACTTTTTGCTTTTCTCCTCTTTTAATAATAGTAACCACCATTTTGTTATCTTCTTTTAAGAATTCCGCAGCTATATTCTTTTTTTTTTTATTATTAGAAACCAATCTTTATAGAAATAGGGAAATATGCTGAAAACAAGAAGGTAGAGAAACTACTCCCAGAATCCAGAAGCTGACATACAAAGTACAAGAAAAGGCCTCCTAACATTGTATAATATGTTCCCAGTCAATAAACTTATCAATAAAAATAAAAATAAAATATGCACCCTGTCAATAAACTCAAGGAGGGTTACAATGTAATTCTAGAAGATGATATTGCAATATCCTTCCTCTGTCAAACAATTAGCCTCATTTTCTGATCAAAGGACCCACTCTGTTTCCATGTGTAAGGTGGAGGATGTATCCACATTGTTATCAACCAATGCCATAGTGTCATGAGGCCAAAGTATAAAGGCATAAAGCTACCCAACCAGCATTGATATCTGAATCCACCTCAACCATGCAGTGATGTGACACCTTGGAGAGGCCCCTAAGTCCCTTTAATATGTAATAGCAAGCCCAAAGCCAGCCGATTTAGAAAAGGCCAAAGTAATATTTCCGTTGCAACGCTTGGAAAGTCTTCTATCCCCCAACATTCCTAGATTTCCCTGCACACTTGGTCGAAGTTGAACTTCATTCTCCTAACCAAGTGTGAAAGGGCAACTTTGATAGGCTTCAAATAGGAGCTAGAATTAAAGCAACTCCTAAAGGCTTTTGTGACAGAGGCGCAACCCGCATATCCTCTTCTTGAGAATGCTTGTATTCAAAGATTTCTGTGTTTCTTTTGCCAAAGCACCCAATTTATAGCTGTTAATCCTAGCTCTTTTGCCTTGAGAGAGTTACCAAAAGTTCCAAAATGGATCTCAAAAATGTATTTCCTATACTTATGGAGCAACCCCACAAAATCCAGCCAATTCAAACTGTCCTTGCCACAAAGCATTTGAACATGGGTGGTAAACCAAGCGATGATTAATAGTCTTATGATCCCTTAAAGAGATGGTTAATAGTTTTATCATTGCTTTTACTGAGAACAAACAATAACTTTGCATGCATTGTGCTTAGCCTCTCGCTAGTATAAGCCTTCTTGTGGTAGGCAACAAGGCAAGCTTGGGAATTTGGCCTTTGAGATAATCCTATCTGCAGGAAGCCAATAACAAAAAAAAAAAAAAAAAAAATAATAGAAAGAAAACGCTATCTAGGAAACGGGATAAAAATCTTTGAATGTAGAAAGTGAACAGGAATTAGAAGAAAATATATTGCTAATGTTTAGAAATCAACCTTTTTCATCCTGGAAAAAGAATTGATTAAAACATCTTTGCTAACGAGATGAAACCACTGCTCTTTATGTAGCTTCTTTTAATGCTAAATCTTGCAATGTAGTGAGAAATAGTTTGTCTCTCCATCCATTCAGTTCTCACTTTATTAGGTGTAACAGAAAACATCTATGGTTAATTTGGTCTTCATCTCATCCATTGAACAGACCAGTGTTGTTAAAGGCGCACCTAGGCACGTCTAGGCTCGAGGCGCAGGTCTAGCGCCTGTTGTCATCCCAGGCTCACTGATGTTTACTAGGCACGCACCTCGGTTGCGCCTCGTCCTATTTGTCAGGCACGCCTTGCTATTTTTTTTTTTTTTAAAATGATTATTCTATCTCTTAAGCCAAAAAGGGTACTTTTACCAACTTAATTAACAAATAAGAAAGCCTAAGCATATGAGAGAAGGAACTTTTGTTCAAAAGAATAAACAAATAAGAAATCCAAGATCGAACATAGAAAGAGTGAGACTGTGAGACCTACGACAAAGCCATGTCAGGTCTTTCTTCTTCTTCTTCTTTTCTCCCTCTTTTCTTCTCTACTCCTCCCTTCTCATCTTTGTTTACTTCTCTCTCTCAGTCTAGTTCTCTTCTCTCTCATTTTTTTTTTTTTTTTTTTGAGGCTTTATTTTTTCTCCTTTTTCTTCTTTAACACTCTCTCTCTCTTCTCATCTACTTCTCTCTCTTCATCTACTTCTTTTGTGTTTGCGTCTCTTTTTTTTGGCTCTATTTTTCCCTTTTATTGTTAACAGTTTTTTAATAGATTTATTTCTTTTTGTGCTCTGTTTTGCCATTCAAGAAAACAAATTTGTGCTTTGTTTTATGGTTCTTGAATGCTTATATAATTGATGGATATACTTTTTTATATTTGATATTAATTTTTAGAATATTGATATTATTTGTGAGGTATGAATGCTATTGTGGTAGTTTAAAATTTCAATTGTGCGCCTCACTTCACTCAGGCGTGCACCTTGCCGTGCGCCTAGGCTCCAAAGGACTTCTAGCGCCCTGGTGCGCCTTGAAGCCTAACACTGGAACAGACTAAGTTGTATAACCATAGTACATTCTGCGGTTATTTCACCACTTCAAGGAAGGATTTTGGTTTCCTATTTACTTGAATTGCATTATGTTTAAAAATTGGTTGAGAGAGGGATGTTATGGCAGGTATTTGTCTATCCTGTTTTATAGAAAGCATCATCCAAGCATTACCTGGTTGTGCAAAAAAATTTCCCTCATCCAAAATATTGAGTAATGATCTTGTACTGGAAAGTTTTTACCATAAATCAAGTTCAGTTATACTACGCATGTAGTTATAATGTTGTATAGACACATATATTCCAAGTAAATGTCATTTGTATCTACTGCATTCTTTCTTGAAGCTCAGCTGGTGAGACTTAAACTTGTTACTTTCTTCCAGCTTGTGAACCATGTTTACTTCTCTCCTGATGGACAATGGGTGGCAAGTGCTTCATTTGACAAGTCAGTCAAGCTATGGAATGGTATCACAGGAAAATTTCTTGTCGCTTTCCGGGGCCATGTAGGCCCTGTCTATCAGATAAGGTTTGAATTTTTTCTACCATGGTTGTGTTATTGTTCATGTTTGTTCTATTTCTATAGCTAATCATTGTATTTCATGTTGTGTGCAGCTGGTCTGCTGACAGTAGATTGCTTTTAAGTGGGAGCAAAGACTCGACACTGAAGGTATTTTCTAGAGCTTGCATTTGTTGTGGTTCTATGTGCCCCATGACTCCCATTGCTGATGAATCATTCTTTGTTTTACGCCATAGCATTTGAGGGCACAAGTTAACCTTTGAGGCATTATAGAAATAATAAAAAAGGGTCATTACGTAGTGGTCCCTGTTAATAAGTGGCTGGGAGGGGCAGATTAGACATAGACCTAAACTCTAGTATTAATTATTTGGACAAAGTGGCTACTCTCAGAATTGGAACTACATTCTCATATTTTACAGCCCATTTTGCCACAGCACCAGGCAATCGCCGTTTATGGAAGCAATAGATATAGCTATTTATTTGAGTAATCACAAAAAATGATGATAAAAAGAAATGCAAGTAATATTTTTATGACAGCCCTAATGACCCCATAGATGTCATGTTAACACACCTATCTTAAGTGCTACATAGAACAACAAAGTGGACCTCATTTTGAGCATTGAGAACATGGAATTGAAATTTCTTCGCGCATTTATAGGACCTGTAACTAAATTTTGGTAAAAAAGTTGCATTCATCACTAACTTGCATGGTTGAGTTGGCTGTGGCTATGGCCTAGGAACCAGACATGTTGTGTTCAGCTCTTCCCAAGCTTACACGGCTTATATAAATTGTAGAGATTGTATGCATTTGTAGGTCAGATTTGACTTGAAATGGGCTGGGGACACCCTTGTATTATCGAAAATTGTGCAGTTTGAATTTGTATTGGTCAAGGGCACACCCATTTATGAAGTTTTTCCATCAGTTAAGAGAGAAGAGTTATTTCTTGTTTGGATAACTAGGTACAGGAAAGAATAGGATAGTGGTAACTCCATTTTATGGGGGAAAATAGAAGAGAGGAAAGAAATGACATTTTATGTGACAAGAAGGGGCCCCATGGAGATCAGTTGTTATAGAAACAGGAGGCAAAATTCTTGTCACTAACTTCCAAATCCTTTGACCATTATTTCTCACTTATGAAAGGAAATGTTAAGTGGGTTTCCTCTTAGTCCTAACGAAATTTGGGTCGGGGTATAACTTAAGTGGACTAACCCAAGCCCAACCCGATTCTTATCACTGGATTGGACAATGATTTGTACAATTAAGGTTGGACTGAAAAACTTTAACCCAAACTTATTTTGGGTTGGGCTTGGGTTGAGGTTTTGTCATCCTGAGTCCAACCTGAACATGATTTTTTGTTATACATTTATAGTCTTTAAATATATAATATAATCGTAATCAACTTTTTTTTTTTGTCAGTTCATCATTATTATTTTTGAATCTTGATTTATTGTATACTAATTCTTTGGAGTTTGGAACTTGAGAAATCGTTTATAATATTTTATATATTTACATTTTATATTCAGTTTTTATAATCTTTTATAAGTAGGAGTAACGTAATTGATGTTAATCCAAAGGTGAACCAATTTTCAGCCTAACTTCTACAACCGGAGCTCAACCTGAGTCAAAAGTTGAACGTAGGTTGGGCTTTGACTGGGGGGTGGGCTTGGGTTGAAGGTTTTATATGTTAGGATGAGCCTCGATTGGTTTTTCAACTCGCTCGAGTTGCACCCCTAGGTGCGGGGGTATTTTTTCTCTTTCACATCTCAGAAGTCCAAACCCCCAATCCAAACACTGGGAAGGTCTAATATTTGCCTTTATATTTCTTGGATATCACTTGGTTTCTTCTCTTGATTAGGCAGTAACTTAAACAATTATGGAGTCCTCACCTAACTTCTGTGCAGTATGATAGTATCAAAAAAATTTTATCTGGAGATTCGTGTTTGAAGCCTTTTATGGTCGATCAAGTGGTCATTATTCATCAACTTATTGCAAATATGCCTTAATCTCATTAAAGGACATGTAGTTGTCTTTAAATTTGAACTCGTTCTGCTTTCCAGGTTTGGGATATCCGGACGCAGAAGTTGAAACAAGATCTTCCAGGTCATGCAGATGAGGTACTTACCCCTCCAAAAAAGCCACTTCACACATATTTTTTCAGAATATTTTGATTAATTTATCCGTGTTCTTTCCAACTGGGTTTTTCCAGGTTTTTGCTGTTGATTGGAGTCCAGATGGTGAGAAGGTAGCATCCGGTGGTAAAGATAGAGTTTTAAAGCTATGGATGGGATAGAATATACAAGGGAGACAAAAGGTACATGCAAGGGCATGATCCAAAGGAGTTTCATTCAGTGGAGTTCTGCAGCCTCCATCACGAGTTGGCACCGTATACAATACCGTTGTACAAGTATGGCATAAGAACATCAGAAGACTGAAAAGGAACATTATAGATCGGCTTCGTGGGTGGTCAATGGATGGGCTCTCTTATCAGTTGTGCTAGTATTCTGGGTTCATTTCAATTTCTTCTGGTCTTCTGCAAATTTGGTCGTTGAAAACTCCAGTTGCACTCTTTGGGTAACGTTGCAATTATGGGCTGAAGCTCTGGATTTGCTGTCTGGTTGGAGGTAAAACGCTGGCTAATTATTGCTTTTATGCGTATTGAGAAGATTATGATTCTCTGTTTTTTTTTCTTTGTCAAGCTACAGTGACTGTGTTTATAGTGATTCTAACATCTGAAGCCCAGTTTTATATTCCATGACAATCATAGATCAACAAACATATGGCATGGCTTGCATGTTGTTTCTTTTGTTTTAAATAATAATATATTAGTTCTAATATCTAATTAAGGCCAGTTTATTTTGCTTGATTTATTGCTAGTGTAAGATGAATGGAGAGGAAGATTGTACTGTAACAAACAGGTTCTTAATCTGTAAAAAGATCTTCACCAATGCTTAACCTTGACAACCAAAGTCCCTAACAACACAGAATATTAATCTTCACAGATATTTTGTTACTAGAGAACTTATTACAGATTGATTACAGATTCGATCAACAGTAAAATTAAGCAAATCCATTTATTGTGCAGTCTAGTCTCTGTTACTACTAGCAATTTGCTCATCATAGCTTGAAGAGAGGAAGAACTGAGGAATTCTGTCCAATCCTCACGGCGGCTAAATCCGTGAACGGAACTTGCTTGTATATAGGTGGATTGTTGTCCGATACAAGTTCCTTTATAGGTCCATACTGCTTAGATATATTCTTAGAGCTGGGAGAGAAGAAACATGCAGTTGATATCCTTGGTCCAACTGAACGAGTCAGTACTCTGTGCTCCACACTTTTGAACTTATTGTTGGTGATAAGCTTCACATGTAGAAAATCAAAAGGAAGAGAAATATCAAACAAAAAAAACGATAAAGAAAAATTGGGGTATGTATAATAATAGTAATGCATATGCATTGTATACATCTCCGGGAAAGAGAGATCAAAGTTAACGTGGGTAGATTTAGTAATATAAAATGTGATTTTTGACTGACGTCTATTCCTTAGATAGAGAAATAAGATTTATTTAGGCGACCCATTTTGTTATACAAGACTTGAACCCCGTCCCGTGTATGTAAATGTTTTAAGGATATTGCATGACTAATGAACAAGTAATTCATTGATTTATACCTGCATAAAATCCCCAATGTTTACTAGAAGAGCTCCTGGGACAGGGTGGACATCAACCCAATGATCTTGATGAAGAATTTGAAGGACAAAAATGGTGTCTTGAAGGAGAATAGTTAGAAAAGTCAGGCATGTGTGTTGGCTCAAGCGTTTAGTCAGCTCAGGCTGTGGGCAAAATGGGTAATAGTGGCACACAAATATTGTAGTCTTCATGCACTCTGTGCTTACCAAATGGTCGCTGCTCAGTCCTAGAGCTTCTGATAGTAGTTCACATAGTTGCTCCTTCAGTTTGATTATGCATTTCATGTACTCTTCCACTTCTTTTCTGCAGAAACAAAATTAACTATTTGTGGACTTCACCTGGAACACTAATAAATTAATGGAGTGTGTGCTGATATAAATTGTAATATATTCTTCCTTCGTAATTATTAGTCGTTATATATTTATTAGGAAAAATTATATTTCAGAAAATGAGAAAAATACAATCCAAGTAAATAATCTTTTATTTTTTTATTTTTTTATTCAGTACTTTGATTCTACATTGAGAAAGATATATATAATTAGGGTAAATTACATTGACCTCCTTTGAGGTTTCTTCAATATACATTGATCTCCCCTTTTATTTGCTAAATTATACTGACTTCTCTTGCAGTTTCGTCAATATACACTGACCTCCCCTCTTATTTGTCAAATTACACTAACCTCTCCTGTAGTTTCATCAATATACACTGACCTCTCCTCTTATTTGTCAAATTATGCTGACCTTCTCTGAAGTTTTGTCAATATACACTGACATCTCTTATTTGTCAAATTACACTAACCTCTCCTGTAGTTTCAGCAATATACACCGACCTCTCCTCTTATTTATCAAATTATGCTGACCTTCTTTGAAGTTTTGTCAATATACACTGACATCTCTTATTTGTCAAATTATATTGACCTCCCCAATCATACTTGTCGGGATTGTAATTATGTTTTTGTCCTTATATATATTACTAGTATATTTTATTGCAATAAATGTGTTTTCCAAGGGTAGAATTCAAATTTGAAAGTTACAAAATTACTGACATCAGCATTTTTCGTCATTGATGAAAGTGTTTGTTATTTACATAAAAATCTTAAGAGAGGCAAGTGTATTTTGGCAAGTAAGGGGGGAGGTCAACGTATATTGATGAAATGACTAGAAAGACATTCAATACTAATTGGACATACATCAGGGAAGGTCGGTGTAATTTACCGATATATTTATTACCTTCATGAAATATCAATAATAAAATAAAAAGATATTTACATTTACCTCCCCGTTGAATGCCTAAATAATAGGGATCTCATCTCTAGTTTAAAAAATGACACCTCTAATTTAAAAAATGACACTGACCTCCCCTCTAGTTTAGGTTCGAAGAACACAAACCTCTTATAAAATTTGACACTCTTTTGATACCATGCTTAAAATTTACATAAAATTCAATTATGACCTTACAAAGCTTAAAAAGGTATTTTTGTCCATATATATATATATATATATATATATATCTTCATGATTGATACAATATATATGTGTATATTATTGTAAATACAAATGCAGTAATGCTAATATGTTACTGAGGCCTACCACAATACAGTAATGAACTTACATTTTAGTTTCAAAGATTGGACTTCAAAAGTAAAGCTAAAAAGTCTGTAAGATTTTTATTACCCACATAAATTACATAATATGCACGTAATATACTGATTTGCTCAAAACGGAATTAGGGTTGCAATGAAAACATGTCGTCTCTGTTATAAAAGTTCATATTTTTCCGTCAATTTTGTATACTTATTAAACAACACGTTTAAAAGTTTTATGTGTGAAAAAAACTAATTTCAGTTTTTGGCTAGTTATCTTCGTATAAATTTCAAATACATATAAAATTATATAAATCAAAAACACTAATTGATAATCACATTATGTATATGTTTGTGCGTGTATTAATTATTAACTTTTCCTTACAAAAAGCTCATGCAAAACATAGATACAAAATTTTTGGGAAAAAAATTTAGTTACAAACATAAACTTTTACTAAATTTCATACGATATATGTCGTCATAACCCATATCTTCCTTTATCTTTCTTATTCAATTTTATTTTTTTTAATTTTTGAAGAAGAAGAACGTTGAAGTATTTAGAACCTTTGGTATGCTTCTCCTAACAATTGTACTCTGATTTTTAATTTAGAGAAGTTACATTTTAATACATGTGTCCTAGAATTTCTACCTAGTATTAAACAAGTGTTTCAAAATTATGATACAATCGGCAGCAGTGGACTTGCATATGCAAAATATACGAGAAACAGAAAGTGCTCCCTCGTAGATACGCTTTGACAAACAATATTTATTTATTTTTTTTTAAAAAAAGAACTTTGCAATGTATGATACCTGAAGACTGAAGGTAACACATTCGGGTTCACCATATCATCTTTGATAATAAAATTTAATGAATCCCTCCAATTTGCAGCAGCTTTGGATTCATGGAGAAATTCATTGCTGTAATATCTCACACACACTTTGTGTTCGATCACGGCTATAAAACTCCATCTTTGTCTCTCCAGGTTGCTCATGGAATCTTCGTGTACCTTCTATCATCCCATCCATTACACTATCTGGTACTCCATGATTGACAAGTTGAAAGAACCCCCATGTTTCTGATGCTTCACGGATTTCATTGAAAATCTTGTGTCGATGTTGGCCATCATCTTCAAACCCTCTGAGGTCTATAATGGGGATTTGGTGTGTGGTGTTTGATGAGTTTTGAAGTTTCTCTGGAGGGTTGATGAAGAACCTGGGGATGTTGACAATGCCAGCATCCACGAGTCCTTTAACTCCAGCTTTTGTTTCGTCGAATTCGTTCACTTCTTTTGCCCAATTGTAATCTCCATCAATGGATTTTTCTGTGGTTGAGACTTCCATGGATTCTTCTATATATGCAAGTGAAGATGTTGATGTTGATTGCATGAAGGGTGAGTGTATTTCTATAGATATGGTGTTAAGACAATAATGGATATTTAAATTAATATGAGAAAGTTGCAAAGAGGTGTTCATATTTAAATATTCATGTCAAGACGTGTGCAGCTGCTTGGTCATAGAATTGTTATATATACACTACTCTATAAAATAATTGTATTTTAGGTCGAGTGTTAGGCCGCGCCCTGCCCCTTTTTATTTATTTATTTTATTTTTTATGATATTATACTAGTAATTTTCCCCCTTTCTGGTATAAAAATAAGGGTAAAATGTAAAAAAAAAACCCTTAACTATTATGGAATCAACAATTAATTCACTGAACTATTAAAGTTGCAATTAACTCCTGAATTATGCATTTTTGTTGCAAATAGTCCCATCCGTCACTGCTCCGGCCATATTCGTCACTATTCCAGTCAGATCTCACCCTTAAAGTGATCATGTGATTGTCACGTGACATACACTATAATTTTAAGGCAAAAAAGCATAAAACTCCCCTCAAGTATTAGGAATCAGCATTTTACCCTCCTGAACTACAAAATTAAGCAAGTCAATTCCTCAACTATCAGAAATGATCAGTTTCACCCCTGTCTGTCCTTTCTGGCTCATTTCCGGTACCAGCATTGTACATTTACAAAAATGCCTATTATTAACATTTAAAAAAAAGCAAATAAAATTAAAATTGTGAAATACCATCAATACCCTCAAGCAATTATACGGATCGGTCTTCTCTGCTGGGAATTCAATCAAGGGAAAGGTGAAAAAGCTCTGCAGCATATTCGAATCCACCAAATCCCTAACATCAGTTCTGGATGAATTGCAATCGCAATTACAATCGCCTACCAAATTGAAACCCACCAAATCGATCGAATTCGATTCTAGGGTTTCTTTGTTCATGACCAACCCTCTAATTCGATTGCCGGGTACTGAAGATCGAATTGTCGTCTATTTCACCAGTTTGGAGGGGAATTCGGAGGACATATGAGGATTGTTATGCTGTGAGGATGATATTGAGGGGATTTAGGGTTTTCGTCGACGACTGTGACATTTCCATGGATTCAGCTTATAGGAAAGAATTGCAGAGTGTTCTGGGCAAAAAGAATGTGACTTTGCCACAAGTGTTCGTCCGACGGAAGTACATTGAGGTGCTGATGTGATCAAACAACTTCATGAGGTTGGTGAATTGGCCAAAATTCTCAGTGGGCTTTCGATTCAAGAACTTGGGTTTGTCTGGAAGGGCTGTGGGGATGCCAAGTTCATTCCGTGCTCGAATTGTAGTGGAAGTAGAAAAGTTTACGACGAAGACGAAGACTAGTTGAAGAGATGCCTGGAGTGCAATGAGAACGGGTTGATCCGGTGTCCAACTTGCTGTTCTTCTTAATAATATATATATATATATATAAAGTACAAAAATACATATATATACGTATATATTATATATGATAATATAGATATATATAAAGTACAGAAATACACACACACACACACACACACACACACACATATATATATTATACACCATCTGACTTTAACTTCTTCAACTTTGATGAAGTTTTTTTTTTTCCTGCACTTGGAGAGGGGAGCAGTTGCAGTTGGAGACGGAAGAAGAAATTTTAGGCTCAATTTACAGACAGTGCTACAACCGTCACATTGCAAGGGTAATTATGGAATTATATTAGAAAGTAAACTCACGCGCTCCATCTGTTGCCAAAATGACTGCCAAGGGGTCAAACTGATCATTTCTGATAGTTGAGGGATTGACTTGCTCGATTTTGTAGTTCAGAGGAGTAAAATGCTAATTCCTAATACTTGAGGGAGGGTTTTTATGCTTTTTTTGCCTAATTTTAATGATCATAATTAATGCCATGACCTTGAAAAGACACTAATGCCTTTTATTTTAACTATTAAATCCGCACCCCTTTTAAACACCCAAACACACCCTTTGTACTGTTGAATGGAGGAAGAAAAAAAAAAAAAAACTAACTCACCAAAACATAGCTCTCATCTCCTCTCTCCCTTCTTCTGTTTATATATATATATATATATATATATATATATATCAGTCATGTTCTTGTATAGATTCAAACAGGACCCAAATGAATCCATTGATGCTTCTTGATCTTTAATTTCTCCAACAACAACAAAAATCCAAGATTAAATCGTTACAATCAACTGCATATAAAGTGGGTGAGTCCATCTGTGAACAAGTAAGGATCCATGGGTGCCATTAAAATAATTGGTCTAAGGAGTAAAAGTTAGAGCTGGGGTTTGGAGTTGCAGAGGAGAGAAGGGAACGCAAAATCCACTTGCGGCGTCGCCGCGTCCACGTCGCAGTGGATGTTGACTAGTCGTCTCGTCCCATCTCTCTCAAAATTATTAGGTCACAAATTTGGAAAATTTGGGTGTCTAAATTAAAAGGTATTTGGTGGGTTTGTGGGTGCGAATGTGTAGTGGTGGGGAGAGAATGTGGTGGAGTGGTGGGCGAGGAAAGACGATCCCGGTGGTGGTTGTCACAGTGGCTGACTCAGAAGAAGTTGCTGCGGGTGTCGGCCACGAGGAGAAGGCACTGGGGAAGGGTGCCGAGGCTGAGATCGATGAAGTACCCGAGTCGGTGGAAGCGCCGGAGATGTGGGGGAGTTGGGGGGTTTTGCGGCGGCGCAGGGCGGAGAAGAGGACGGAGAGGCTGTAGGCGTCGGAGGAGAGGGCTTCGGATGGGGAAGGAAGTAGGTTTCTGGGGGAGGAATCGTCGGAGGAGTGGGCTTTGGATGGGGAAGGATTGGTAACATCAGTGGTGTTCGGGTGCTACAGGATTATGTGGATGCCAGGAGAGAGAGAAAATGGAAAACAGATAGAGTAGGAAAGAGGAGACAGACAACATCACCGTTTTTTATTTTTTATTTTTTATTTTTTTTAATTGGTTTATGAAATTATCAATGGCACGATTTAGTTTTAAATAAGGATAAATTTATCTTTAATATTTTTTATCAAGTCACCTACAACAAATTAATAGTTTAGTGGATTTCTTACAATAAAATCACAGTTGAGGGAGATTTTTTGTAGTTCAAAAATTAGTTGCAAAATCTCAATAATTTAAGATTTTTTTTTTTTTTTTTTTTTTTTTTTTTTTTTTTTTTTTTTGTATTTTACCCTAAAAATAATGGTATTCTAAATCATGGATCACGTATTATATATATAAATTAATTGTATTCTAGATCTAAGTGTTATATACACATGTATGCATAAAATAATGGTATTCTAGATCAAGTGTCATGTAAGGGCTAAAATGCAAGAAACCCCACCTTGTGATATAAAAAATGTGCAAATTTATTTATTGTTTTTATTTTTATTTTTACTAGTGTATATATAACTTCTTGTGCAAATTGCCTTCTAATATTTGTTGACCATCAATTTTGATCAATTTTTTTTTTTTTTTTAATAAAAATTTCAAACTACCCTTAATAACCTCTTATTTATTCTTTTTTACAGTATTGTTTATCATAAGAGTATTTTAATAATTTCATTATGTCAAATTATAAAAATGCCCTTATTTGCTCAATTTGCAAAAATGTAGAAGTTTTTTTTTATTTACTTGAACTTCAGGGAATTTCTGCACATTTTGACCAGTTTATTTTTTTATCTAGAACTTTAACAAGGACAACAAGATCATGGGTGCCACCTATTTTTGAACATTTTGTGTCTCAAAATTTGATAATATGAAATTAACAAAACCCAGGAAAAAAGAAAAAGAAAAAATAAGATTGATGTCATGATAAATTTGCTTCCTCCTTTTAGGGTAATACAGAAAGATAGGAGGTCAGTGATACCCATGGCCTTCTTAAAACAATTAATAATCTACGACCCGGCATACAGATTTAGAGAATTTACCGCGGGACATATAGATCGACTCTCTCGTCACACATGCACTGCACTGCACAAATTATTAACTGTAATATATATAAAAAAATAAAAATAAAAGTTCAAGTTTATTGATGATGTATATCTCTTTCAGATCACAAGTGCTTATATATATATATATATATATATATATATATATAAGTTCATATAAAACATATGAATAAGTCAATGGATATAAGAATCATTCTTGATTAACAAAACATGTGCATGCTTCAATGTACATGCTTCCACAAGAAAAGGCCAAAATAATGGATACCAAACTGGCAAACTGGTCCTGAGAAGAGGCACAAATTCTAAATTTCATTAGTAAACGGACTATTCCAAGTTGATTGAAGAGAAATTTTAAATTTGACCTCTCTACTTTAACGCAATGCTAATAAAATAATTGTATTTTAGATCAAGTGTTATATATACACACACTTATAAAATAATTATATTTTAAATGTGCTATATATATATATATATATATATATAAATTCAGACCTGACGTCAATTGTTTTTTTCTGTCCCTTGAAGGGATACCCAGAGTTCATTCTTGCACGGTCGCGTTCTCCCCATTAGGGGCACTGCACTTGGAATGAAGATGGGAATCTTTGACTGTCAAGGTCAGTTTGTTTTAGGATTCTTTACTGCTAAATCACGCGTTATATACAGATATGTATAAGTTAAATGTGTTTTAGATCAATTGTTATATATTGTTGGAAGATTAAACCAAATGATGGAAATATCAAGGTTGAATTCATGAACAAACTCTAGTGTGGAATACATGAATCAACTTATGTGGAATACATGCATGAACTATCTCATTGAGAGATGAAACACTTGTGTTAAAGTTAATATTTTATTTATTGTCTTGTATTTTATGTTTTTCTAAAGTCATGTATTGGTGCATATAAATACAAGTTCTTGATATCTTTTGTAAGCAAGAAGTGAGAAAAAAAATATATCAGAATTTGAGAGTTTTATATAAAAGTCGTGTGTCTTCTACTTTTTCATATTTAGTGCCCTCCTACAAATTGGTATTAGAGCCTTTTACAAATTGATATCAAAGCCTCAATGATTCTATAAATCTGAAAGTATGAAAGGTGGAGTGATTTTGAAGCGTGAAGTAAAATAAAATTTGGCTCGTGAAAAATCAATTCAAAGAAGATTCAAGGAGGAGGTCCGTAGATCGAAAAAAAATGAATGAAATTTGATTCTCTCAAATTATGCCTACTGGAGCAATATCATTTCCGTTTATCTTAAAGAATGTGATTTATGGTGCGGTGTCATAAAAAATCCAAAAAGTTGTCAGCAAAACAAAGTTTCAAAAAAGAAAGATGAAGTGGTACCCTACGATATTGAAGAATGCAATTCATGAAGAAGTTTGGAAACATGTTGAAAATTTGAATTCTCCAAGTTAGGTATGGCAAAAGTTTGAATTTATGTCTTCATCTGATTATAAATTCAAATCAATATCCATTGAATATTGGTTTCCAAATTACGATGAAGATGGATTTTTTGAATAAATAAGTTGGGAAGATGAAAATGAAATTTTTTTGAAAAGGTGGAATGTACGAATATAGAATTTGATGAAAAAAGCAAAAAGATGCAAGATGAGAAAATGGTGACAGTGGAGTTTAAAAAAAGAAGGAAGAGAAAGAGTTGATGTTGATGAAGAAAAAATATTCAAATATAAAAATGAGAAAGAAAAAAAAAATTAAATATTGAAGACATTGAAGTTGTCATGAAAGAAGAAATCATTGGAGTTGAATTTGGTGAAGAAATTGGAATATCAAATCTTGGTGAAGAAAACAAATGGTTTGAAATTCTACATGAAGCAACATTAATACTTAATTTTAGAAGAAACAGAATATGTTCAATTGGATGATGTTATAGTTGAAGAAAAAATTTAAGAACGTTTGTATGGAATATTTCTCAAGTGATATGACATGGGTGAACATTGAAGCGTTCTTTGATTTAAATTAGCAAGTCAAAAGTAAATTCAAGAGGTGTGGAAATTTTCAAGTGAATCTCAAGAACAACATTAGAAATCTGTTTCAAGGTCAGGTCAAGAAAAGTACTAAAAGCATGAAGAAGACAAGATACAAAGCTTGCACATCAAAGGAGATTGCAAAGAAGATTTTTGCATTTGAAAGCATTGGAAATTTAATGCATGTAACGGCTATAAGGCTTAGTATAATGTTTGTAAGGGAGATCCAACCCCTTATGAATTGCAAAGAAGAAAAGTGGAAAAAAGCAATGAATAAAGAAATCAAAGGGAAAATAATGGCACATGGGAGTTGGTTAATCTGTCATCAAACAAAAAGACTCTTGGTGGAATTTTATTCAAGAAGAATCTTGCAAAGTTGTGAATGAAAAGCAAATTTGGTTAAGGGGAGGCATTATTGGAAGATTAAACCAAATGATGGAAATATCAAAGGTTGAATTCATGAACCAACTAAAGTGTGGAATACATGAACCAACTCATGTGGAATACATGCATGAACTATCTCATTGAGAGATGAAACACTTGTGTTAAAGTTAATGTTTTATTTATTGTCTTGTATTTTATGTCTTTCTAGAGTCATGTATTGGTGCCTATAAATACATGTTCTTGATATCTTTTGTAAGCGAGAAGTGAGAAAAAAAATATCAGAATTTGAGAATTTTATATAAAAATTGTGTGTGTTCTCCTTCTTCATATTTAGTGCCCTCCTCCATATATACATAGGGAGATATATGCTTCAAATGACATTTAAAATATAACTAATCTTATATTAAGATAATCAATAATATATTTAAAAATAATTAATTAAATATTGAACTCAATATTTAATTAAACATGTAAATTAAAGTAATAAAATAATAATAATAAATAAAGAACCTTGACCGAGGCTAATATTGGATACAATGTCCTTAAAACAATTTACGCCCCGCATGGTGATGACGAACTTTGTGGCATTTGTCTTCCAGGATACAACGATTTACATCTACCAGTAGCCGCATTACAAACTTGTGATTACGGTGAACCTACTCCGTGTAATACTTTATCTTACTCAAAAATGCATCTATACTATATAAATACTGAATTGGGTGCATTTGGTTCAGGCCAATCTTAATATGTCTCGATCAAATTGGATTAGGGTCCAAGTGACTCGGACAACTTGACCTATGGTTTGAACCCACTTGGTTGGGTTCAAGTCTAGAGAGGGAGAGAGAAGAAAATGAATTGAACGAATTGTAAATGGCATCTCAATGGGGTATTTATAGAAATTAATAGAAGTGCCTTTTCAGATTGGGTGTGTCTCTTTATCATTGGACGCAACCATTTATACATGTCTTTTTTTAACATAACCATTTATATGTGTCTCTTCATCACTGGACACAACCATTTATATGTGTTTATTCATCACCAGACACATCCACTGCAATAGGTTGTAATGGTTCACATTGAATAGGTTATGCCTGTTGGTTTTGAGTTGTATGTTTTCATCCCACAACCAATCAGTGATCACACCTGTTTAGTTAAAGGCATCTTTTGATGACTGATTAAACAATTTTCATTCAAAAATTCTAATAATCATGCAAACACTAGAGAGAGAATAGTAGAAAGGTTACTGCATCGGGGTAGGTAATTGTTGCCCAAGTATCGACTCTAGAGGGGGTTGAATAGAGTCTATGGCAAACAATAGACAATTTTCGGTTTTAATTGTTTTGCAAATTCTAATAAATACCTTATAATAATTATGCAATAATCAGGATATAAACTCAAACAATTAATAGTACAATTGTAAAATAGATAAGGGAAGAGAAATGCAAACACTTGGTACAATGATTTAACGAGATTGGGTAACTCTTACTCCTCGGTTCAAGATCCCCGAGACTTTTTCAATCCCACTATGGCTCCTCTTTACGGGTGGAGAGCAAACCGATATAAGAAGCACACAACTTCTAATTCTTCTTGCTAAGAGAACAATCATCTCTCAGACTTCTGCTAAGTCACACCACCCTTCAAGTAAAGCAATCATCTCTTTTAATTCTTCTTACTAAAAGAACAATCCACTCTTAGACTTCTAATTCAAGTAAAACTGTTGAGATTCGAGGAAATTCCTCTTCGTACTTTGAACTTGAATTTAAACTTTTTAATTATAACCGATCGTAGTCTTTAATTTAATTTTTAATCTGATTAACTAAGGAATTATCTAATCCATTTGGCTTCCTTAATTATCTAGGTGGTTCAGCTCCCATGGTTGAACTACAGTGTTTTGAATTTTTCTTATCAGTTAACTCCCAATCTCAAGCTCTCTTGTAGAGTATCGGAAATGTAAGTTTTTTTTTTTTTTTTTTTTTTTTTTTTTTTTTTTTTTTTTTTTTTTTTGAGTGAGTTCGCCATTGAAGTAGATTTATGACAGCTTCATGAGTTCATTCTTACTAGCCAAGGGAATAAGATTTTTCTCCGAACTTCATGAACTCGTCACTAGTAAGCTTCATGATCGAGCTCGTTCTTACTAAAGAGAACAGGGTTTTTTTCCGAGTTTTGTGAACTCGCCCCTAGTAAGGAAGTAAATTTACGTGAACTTCATGAGTTCACTCTTACTAACAAATTAGGGTTTTTTCCCGAACTTTGTGAACTCACTTAGTAAGAAAATTAATTTTGTTGAGCATCATGAACATCACATGTATGGACTCACCATAGATAGATTTGGTAATTCATTCATTTCTCAGAAAGTTAGGTTCCTGAAGATAGACACTTAACATGGGACGGAGGAAATATGTAACAGCAAGCCCAAAGCCAGCCGATTTAGAAAAATCGCCAAAGTAATATTTCTGTTGCAACCATTGGAAATTCTTCTAATTCCCCAAGATTCCTATATTTCCCTGCACACTGGTCGAAGTTGAACTTCAATCTCCCAACCAAGTTTGAAAGGGCAACTTCGATAGGCTTTCAAATGGGAGCTTGATCTAAAAGCATCTCTTAAAAGCTTTTGTGACAGGGTCTAACCCACATATCCTCTTCTCGAGAATGCCTAGCTTGTATCCAAAGATTTCCATGTTTCTTTTGCCAAATTACCCAATTTATAGCTGATAAATTGCCGCCTTGTATATCTTAGCTGATAAATTACCCAACAGGTCCAAAATGTATTTCCTTTACTTATGGAGCAACCCCACAAAATCCAGCCAATTCAAAGTTCACATCGCATGTCCCTGCCACAAAGCGTGTATGAACAATAACATGGGGTGGTGAACAAAGAGATAATTAATAAATAGTCTTATTATTATTCCTTAAAGAGATGTTAATAGTTTTATTATTGCTTTTCTGTGTATTGAGAAGATTATGAAACAATAGCATGTTTGTTTACTGTGATTCTAACATCTAAATCTCACTTTATATTCCATCAGATTAGTAGATCAACAAAACATATGGCATGGCTTGCATGTTATTTATTTTGTTTTAAATAATATATTAGTTCTAATATATAAGGCCAGTTTATTTTGCTTGATTTCTGGAAATTGTAGAAAGATGAATGGAGATTCCACTGCAACCTTAACTACCAAAAGTCCTTGACAACAGCCATAAAAACAAATTCTATCTAGAATGCATGATTAATCAAAATACATAGAACCCAAATACATTTTGTTACTAGGAAAGTTATTACAGATCTATTGCAGTTTCCAATCATTTTTCAACAGGGAAAGATAAACTTTGCGACGGGTTTTTGTTGCCACTGATGTGTCAAAACATTTATTAGAACACTTCTAAGAGTTGAGAGAGTGTATTTTCTTTATTGCTGACAAAGAGTGGAGTCGCTGAGGAAACCAATGGAGCATTGTAGCAGTACTTTTTTCGACATTGGAGCTGAGTAAAAATCCAACAATTGTTCAGTCTCTCTGTTACTAGCAATTGCTCGTCAAAGCTTGAATAGAGGAAGAACTGAGGAATGAATACCATTCAGTCCATACCTCTTATCCTTCACGGCAACTAAATCTATGAACCGAACATCCTTGTACATAGGTGGATTGATGTCTGATAGAAGTTCCTTTATAGGTCCATACTGCTTAAGTATATTCCTAGTGCTGGGATAGAAGAAACAAGCAGCAGATATCCTTGGTCCGACTGATCGCGCCAGTACTCTGTGCTCCACACTTTTGAACTTATCGTTGGTGATAAGCTGCACATTTTGAGAAGACCAAAGTTACAGCAAGTAGGGTTAGAAAGTATTAGAAAGTAATATATGATACGATAACATGTGATTTGACAAAAGCTATGTCTTTATATACAGAATGGACAAATAGTAGAGAAAGAGGCTTTGTTGTTGTTTAAGGATATTAACATCTACTAATGAATTTTAACAAAAAAAAAAAGAAAAAGAAAAATCTACTAATGAACAAGTAATTCATTGATTTGAACTATACCTGCATAAAATCCCCAATGTTTGCTATAAGAGCTCCTGGGACAGGGTGCACATCAACCCATTGATCTTGATCACGAATTTGAAGGCCCCTGATGCTATCTTTAAGGAGAATAGTTAGAAAAGGCAGGTCTGTATGTTGGCTCAAGCCTAGAGTCAGGTCAGGCTGTGGGCAAATTGGGTAATAGTGGCACAAAAATGTTGCACTCTTCATGCACTCTATGCTTCCCAAATAGTCGCTGCTCAGTCCTAGAGCTTCTGAGAGTAGTTCACATAGTTGCTCCTTCAGTTTGATTATGCATTTCATGTACTCTTCCACCTCTCCTCTGCACAAACAAAATTAAGCATTTGTGGACTTCACCTACGACACTGATAAATTTATGGAGGGCTACGAAATTGTTTCTCCACGAACACAGGGCAGAGCCAGAAATTTTTAATTGGGGGCCAAACTAGAATTTTGTAATTAAAATTTAAAAAAGTTATAAATCAATTGTTATATAATTTTTCTTACATCATTAGTAATGATATTTTTGATAAGAACAATATATTTCAAAATATAAGAAAAATGCAATCCAAATAAATAGAGATGAGAATTTGATATGAGAAAAAATAAAAATAAAAATAACACCCAGAGAAAAGAAAATAAGTTACGTGTAAATGTGTAATAAGAGATGGTAAAGAAAAATCATTGTTATTTTCCTTTGTTTCGATTTTCTATCCATTCAATTTTTGATTTTTGATTTTTTTTTTTTTTTTTTTTGAGTATTTTGATTCTACTTTGAAATATATATATAATTATTACCTTAATGAAAGATTAATAATGAAATATAAGAACTATTTTAACTAAACAAAATCCTGCAAGATCTAATAAAACAACTAAAAATATTAGAAAATATGATATAATTGTTGTTATTACCCTCTACATTAGTCGGGTAAAGCTCATAATATATCTGGGGTCATTGCCCTTAAGGAATCGATCGCACTCGAGATGATTCAAACTTGAGACTTATACTTCATAATGCACTAAGTCAATCGCATTCAAGAGGACTGAGACTTAATGCTTCAAGAGGCACCAAGTCTTATTGCCCCAAAGGAATTGATCGCATTCGAAATGATTTAAACCTGAAACTTAATGCTTTATGAGGTACCAAGTCCCGGAGCTTCACCACTGGAGCTAACCCATTGAGGTTCTCTTCCTCCAATGTTGCAAAGAGTTGTAAATATTAGTATATAATTGAAAAAATATAAATTTTTTCCTTGCTTACACCATCTAACAAAAATATTTTAAAAAGAAGGTTCATGTATTTTTATTAAACATGGAGGACGTAAGTGCAATTCCTCTTTTTTTTCTAATCGATGTCCAACATGGGCTTATATTTGTATGAATTTTGAAAATACAAGTTATATATATTATTTTTCCAAACTCACTATCTTTTAGGCTAATAAACAAGCTAGTATTTTGAAAAGAAAAAATATATTTATTGGAAGGGCCCAAGTGAAATTTCTGCGAATTTTGAGACATTGAACTTATTTATAGAACAATTTTTTTTTTGTCAGGATGTGGTATGATAGTTGTGGTAGGGCATGATCATTTTGTGGTCAAAGGGTTCAAATTCCCACTTTATTGTCGGTTGCTTTAATTTTCAAATATATATATATTTATGTAGACTTGCATAAAATTTTAAAAGTACATATAAATCTAAAACAATAATTGTTGATCACAATCTGTGTGTGTATTAATTACTAACATCTCCTCATAAAAAATATAACCAGCATTTTCTTATATCTCATCGTAACCCAATTCTCCCTCTCTTTATTTATTTATTTATTTTTTATTTTTTATTTTTTATATTTTTATGAAGAAGAATAATGTTGAATTATTTAGAAACCCTTGTTATGCTTATCCTAACAATTATATAATGATTTTAATCTTAAAAAGTTACATTTTGATGCCAAATACATGTGTCCAAGAATATCTAAGTATTATTAAATAGACATGCCAATGGATTGAATTTTGATCCAATAACTCAAATATGGATTGAAGATTTAATCCGATAACTCATTAACGATCCGAATCTAATAATATGTTAGTTAAAAAAATCGAATATAAATTATGATAGATCCAATCCGATATCCGTTTCAAAAGAATATATTATACAATATACTAAATATATAATCTAATTTTATAATATATATAATATTTATATATTATCAAATTGTTCTTATTATTTTCTCCTCTCTTTTTTAACTCTCTTTATGTTTTCTTATTCGGAAATTTTTTTTTTCTTTAACAAAGAATAAAAGATATAATTTTCTTTTTCATATTTTATTTATTATTTTTATTCTCTTTTGACAAATTTTTTTTTCTTTTACAAAAATTAAAAAAAATTGTGCACACACCCCCCTTATCGGATCGGATTGGATCGAATTATCGGATCGGATATCCATTTATTAACAAATCGGATATGAATTTATTAACAAAATATTCATCGAATTATCGAATCGGATCAGATCAAGTATAGCCTTATCGGATTCGGATCGGATCAACACTGATCCGGTTCGAATCTAACCCATTTACATGTCTTTAAACATGTGTTTCAAAATTATAAATACATTAGAGAAGTATTAGAAGCTTATATGCAAATATATATGAGATTATATCCAAAACAAAAAATGCTTCCTGTTTAAAAATAATAATAATAAATAATTGGAAAAAAATAAAAATAAAAAAATAAAAAATAAAAAACTTTGCAAGTATGATGATACCTGACGACTGAAGGTAACACATCCGGGTTCACCATATCATCTTTGAAAGCAAAAGATAATGAATCCTCCCAATTTGCTGCAGCTTTACTTGAATGGAGAAATTCATTGCTGTAATATCTCACACTTTGTGTTCGATCACGGCTATAAAACTCCATCTTTGTCTCTGCAGGTTGCTCATGGAATCGTCGAATACCTTCTATCATCCCATCCATTACACTATCTGGTACTCCATGGTTGACAAGTTGAAAGAACCCCCATGTTTCTGATGCTTCGCGGATTTCATTGACAATCTCATGTCGACGTTGGCCATCATTTTCAAAGCCTTTGAGGTCTACAATGGGGATTTGGCGTGTAGTGTTTGATGATTTTTGAAGCTTCTCTGGAGGGTTGATGAAGATCCTGGGGATGCTGGTAATTCCAGCATCCGCAAGTCCTTTAACTCCAGCTTTTGTTTCGTCGAATTCATTCACCTCTTTTGCCCTATTGTAATCTCCATCAATAGAGTTTTTAGTGGTTGAGACTTCCATGGATGAAGTGGTGTATGAACAAAGATGACAAGTACTAGCTAAAGATGTTGATGATGAATCGCAAGAAGTGCGTGTATCGTTATATAGCTAGTGTTATGACAATAATGGATAAATATTTATTTAAAGTGTCAAATGTTGCAGTGAGATCCACCTTAATTAATTATTCGTGATTGGTCATTTGCCTTAGAAAACGGACTATCCCAAGTTCATTGAAGAGCAATTCTAAAATATACATATATTTTTTTGAATCTTAAATTAAGAGTTGCAAACTCCTACGAACAACTGGAGCAATTCAACCGCTGAATTACAAAAGCATTTGCAAGAGCAATTCTAAATTTGACTTCTCCACTTTATGCATTGCTAATAAAATAATATAACAATTATATTTTAGATCAAGTGGTATATATGTAAAGTCCTGATAATAAGAAATTTTATCTACCCCTTTCATGAAGACTATATCCAATGATCACATTCTGAACTCACTTGTCTCCTTTTTCAAATACAACAAAACCACCTCTAACACTTTACAATCTCCTTTCCAAATACAATAAACCACCTCTACCCTTTAAAAAACCACATTCACCCTAAAATCATATTTTAGGAAAACCATTTACAATTTATAATAAACAAATTTGGTTCGCTTCCGCAACAAACAAGTCTAGAACAATTCTTAATCCATAAAAAGTGGATCTTGCTCATAAATGAGCAAGAGATCGTCCTGTACATATGCATATAGAATAATGGTATTCTAGATAGCACTTATTCAATGTATAAAATACATACACATATATGTATAAAATAATTGTATTCTAGATCAAGTGTTATATATATATATATATATATATAATCATTATTATTATTATATTTTAGATCAAGTTTTACATATATAGAGAGAATTTTATTCTAGATCAAGTGTTATATACCTATATCATAAAATAATTTTATTCTAGCTCAAGTGTTATGTATATGTATAAATTAAGGGTAGTGATAGATGGGCCGATGAGTCTGGCAAATGAGTTTGGCTGAATACACATGGCAGTCCAAGTAAGCAACTTTAACAATTAAAAAAAGGAAAGAAAATAAAAAGAAAAATAATATACGCGTTCGCAGGTTCATCTTTCCCAGACTGTCAAGTTTTAGGCTAAGTTCTTCTCTTCCAATAGATATCAAATCTCTCACTCTTCGTTTCATCTCTTCAAACAATATTTCTTACCATCTTAACTTGAAGAGAGAAAGAACTTTTAATTATCAGGAAAAAAAAAAAAAAACTTTTGATTTTTAAAGTATGGTTGCAACTTCATATCATATATCATATTCATATATATTTATACATATTGTATCATATGTGTAATTTTTTTTTTTTTTTGGAAGGTAAATATTTGTATTTATTTGTTTGATTATATTGTTCTTCACAGTTTTTAAAACATTTTCAAAGAGATATTAGAGACAGAAATAGAATGAGAAAAAGAAAGTAAGGAGAGAGAAGAGATAGAGAGAACGAGAGAGAAGGAAGTGGCGGCTTAGCTGGACAGGCCACGTAATTTCTGCCAAAGTAATCGGTCAATTTAATTATAACCATTGATATCTAAGTTTTCATAATAGAAAGGGAGACTTAGATATGCTTGTTTGTAGAGAAGTCGTTCCCCTATTGTTGTTATATATAAGGGTTTTAAAACCCTTATTCAGTCCTATCGTATCGACAACTCTCAGAAGGGAGTAAAACGCTCTAATATTTTGTAGGAACTCACAGAGGATTACATGGATATTTTAAAAGTATATGTGCGTTAATCATCAATCAGGTACGAGTCTATATTGCTCTTTAATTAATTAAAGTATTCTTGATTTCTATATGGATTAATTTGATTAAAACTCAACAATTGGTATCAGAGCTATGTTAGGGTTTAAATTTTTTTTTTTTTAATTAAAGAAATTAAGAGGAGAAATAATTTAAGATGTAATCGTACCATAAATTCAAGGTCTTGCTCCAATTTATGTTGTGAATATAGGTCCTGCCGTCATGTTTACTGTTTTCGTTAACTTTATTCACTTTGGTTGAAAGTAATGTGCCATGAATTCAATATAATTTGAATACTAAAGGAACTTATGGTGCATGTTGCCTGGTGCGTGTTTGTACTTGATTTATATATATAAGCATATAAGGTTTAGTTTGAAAAAGCTATCATATAATCAGCACGCCGAACGAGGAATAAAAGAACAATGGATTTAAGCATGAATCAGTTTGTTTGTGTAATTGAAATCTGTATTCGTTTTCATCAATCAGTTGCACACCGAACGAGGAAAAAAACAAAGAGAATGATTTTAATGCTATTGGATAGAATATTTAATTAATTTATTTTTTAATTATTCTATGGAAGGTAGTAATTCCATGTATTATTTATTGATGGTTAACCGATCAGTTGATAGTAATCCCATCAGAATGGTGACGAAATTACATGATCCCATGTCTATTGGGACATCATGAGAATGATGTCACAAGTAATATAAATTGCGTTTCTCTGCGTATAAAATTAAGATGATTTGGTTTTGATATCGTACTCATGGGTTCATTATTTATGCTCCACTTGTGGAACCATAGAATAAATTATTTTGAAGTTTATTTTATGTATATGGATGGTTATAAATAGTTATTTATTTATTTTTCAGTTAAATTTAATCCATGTTGATATGTTATTCAAGAATTTGATTTATATATGATTCTCGAATGAAATACTCTATTATGCATTAATATGAGAAATTGATCTTGAATTACGTGAATCATAATAGAATGATTTGATTATCTAGTATATATTTTGTAGGATAAACTATTTGATGCAATATATACATGCACGAGTGATTTTTTTTTTTTGGTTTAATGTGAAGTTGCGCAGCAGTTGAGCCGTAATAATTTTATTGAGTAATTCATGATACTTGTTTAATTTTAGGTTGAAAAACTTATGGAATTTACGTGCCATAAGTAAGCAGTATTAACCCAATTGATTTAAAGATTCAATTACTTTAAATTGTTCATCGGATATATAATATACCTGCATCAAGTTTTTTTTTTTGTTATTTTATTTTAATTAAAGTATATAAAGAATTGAGATTTTAAATTTTGATTGATGTGCATGTTGTTATTATATTGTTCACTGTAATTTCTTAAGATGTATGAGGAGGCTTTATTTTATTTGTATTAAAGCCATTTATATTACAGTGAAATTAATCAAGTGTTCCATAATATTTGGGTTTAGTTTATGTGCATTATAAAGAAGTTGTTGAACTTAAATAAATGGAATTTCTGTAATTTAGGTTCTTCCTTGGGGTTTAGGAAAATCGGTAAAGTGAGTGTTTCAAATGTGGTAGCCGAAGTGGGTGATGCCTGCCAAAAGGTGACACGCTCACGGAGGTTATTATTTTTAATTTTTTTTTTTTTTTTTAAGACATTGGTCTTATTGAGGTCTCACAGTGCATTTACCTACATGAAGGCATTAGTTCTGCCAAAAGGTGATCAATGTCTTAGTGTGGGATAAGTGAGTAGAATATTTGAGAGTGCTTGGATTATAACTAAATAACCCTCTTGCCAAAAGGTCGTGGAAGTGTTTAGCAATAATTCAAGTATAATCAAATAGGTTTATGTGCGATTTGATCGCAGGTTTGGGGGTAAAATAAAATCTAAAATTCTGCCAAAAGGTGATTTTTAGATGACATTTTATTTGTTTCCGCAGGGTGGATGGTTTTGCACATATAAAACACCCTGATAAATTCGGCTTAAAGCCCCAAGCACGAATTAAAGTTATAATCCCTAAAGTTGAGATATATTACTATATGTTGTTTATGTGATGTTATTCAATATAACATTTATTCAGGTTACAGACGCTTCCGCAATTTAAAGATATCTTATAGGGATTGAACCATTGAATGGTTAAAATTATACTGCCTAGAAGATAGGTTTTGATATTATATTGGATTTCTTGGACTACGTGTCTGTTGTTTTAGAAAGAAACCCATATGCCCAGTGCATTGTCTTTTTAGGTAGAAAAGTTGTTGTATTTTTTAAGTGAACTACAGGTACTACCATGCCATTAGATTAATTTATACTTCTATTGGTGATACTATTCAGGGTGGTATTCTAGTTTTGATACTGCCAAGGAGCTTCTTGATTTGATCAAGAAAGAGTTAATAGGTATTAAGAAGTAACTACAATACTATTATCTGACATGGATTATGTTAGTGAGATATGATGGTAATAGTTCAGAGAGGGAGTACATCTATATGATGTGCAAACTGGTTAATGATCTGAGGTAGTAGGGAATCATATTTGATGATAAGTTATTAGTCCACATGGTGATTTATTCTCTACTTAGATTGTTTTAGTTTTTTCAAGGTGAATTATAATTCACAAGAAGTTAAATGTGGCATTAACCAGCTATTAACATTTTGTGTTATTGAATGGGAATGATTCAAGGGTGTTAAAACTGAGTTAACTTATCTTGCGGTGATAGTAAGAATAGTTTTAAGAAGAAACTAGGCGGCAAGAAAGTGCGTAAGGCTAATAAAGAAAGGCAGAACAATACATGAAAAGACATTGATCATAGAATGATAAATGTTTGTTCTGTAGAAATAAAAGGATATCAAAAGAAAAGGTTATTGTGGTGGAAAAGAAAACCAAAGTAGGAAAAGAAAATTCCCATGTTAATAGTTGAGCCTAACCTGGTAAAAATATAGGTATAGACATGGTGGATGGATTCGGGTGTGATCCTATTTATTTCTTGTTTTTTTTTTATAGACTTGATACCGTTCGAATAAAATCGTGATTTGCTTAGAAGGGATTCATCTATGCTATGCATAGGATATTGGGGAATGTCTCTCCCAAGAGACTTGAACGCTTGGTCGATAATGAGATTATTGGACCACAAAATTTTATGCGTTGGTTGTGTCAAAGGACAAATGCTAAGAAACTCAATTTTGAGGCTAGTCGGTCATTTGGTTTTAGACTATATTTA